CACGTTCAGCGAGCTGGGCAGCAACGCCGTGGTCTGGGCCCTCAAGACCCCCAGGGCCTTCGAGGTGGGCTCGGAGGCCTCGGCCGAGCAGCGTGAGATATCCCTGCAGGCGGCGACCCAGATCAGCTGGACAGCCCCCATCACCGACAGAGACGGCGCGCCCGATGCGGCGATCAAGGAGTTCTTCGAGGCCGCAGAGCTCCACCTGATCGACGAGTTCGGCATCTACGAGGGAGAGAGGTACCAGGGCAGGGCCAAAGGTCCCCGCACCGTCAAGAAGAAGCTGGCGGACCTGCAGCGCACGGAGGCTGTCAGAAAGCTCAGCCCCATCACCAAGTGCTGGCTCTGCCTCGGGAGGATCGCCAGGCAGCTCAGGGCGGCTGCTGCGGTCTGCTCACCCCCTGTGGGGCACGTCGGCTACATCAAGCACCTGGTGCAGGTGGCAAAGAGCTTGGGGCCCAAGTTCGAGCAGGCGGGTTGCACCATGTTCGAAGGCTCGAAGCTTGACTCGCTGATAGACGTGATCCAGGAGCCCACCGAGCAAGGGCATGCCTTCCTGCAGATGATCGAGAGCACGACGGAGAGGCACCGCAAAGAAGACGCCAAGGCGGCCAGGCTGCGCTGGAAGGACTTCGTGGACGAGGCCTTGGCGAAGGGGGCAAAGGGCGCCCACGCAGTCATAAAGGACCGTGACCAGGTGCTGGACTCGGTGACCGCGCACTGCCCCGACTGCCTGCCGCTCCCAGTTGTTGGCCAGCAAGCCCTGGACCAGATCCTCATTGAGTGGAAGGCCCTTTGGAAAGGTGCCGGCGGGGAGTGCAGGTCCAGACCAGCCGACTGGATCTGCTCCATGGAGCTGCCCCCTATCACGGCGGACGACATCCTCGAGGCGGCGAAATCGTTCCCGAAGCAGACCGCTCTGGGCTGGGATGCGTTCCACCCGCGGCTGGTCCTCTCCCTGGGCAGGCCCTTCGCCGAGAGGATGGCAGAGGTGCTCACGGCTTGGGAGCAGCAGCCGCAGCCCACAGCCTTCTTCACCACGGTGATCGTCTTCCTGGGGAAGCCCGACGGAGGCCGCCGCCCGATCGGCATCATGAGCATGTGGACGCGTATCTGGAGCAGGGTGCGCCGCCGCTACTGCGCCAAGTGGGAGGCGGACCACCCGCTCCCCGAGGTCTGGGGCAAGGACGCGAACACCTGCTGTGACAGGGCGGCCTACCTCCACAACCTGGGGCTCGCGCTCGCCCGCCAGCTTGGCTTCGAGGCAGCCTCCGTCTACTTCGACATCAGCAAGTTCTACGAGCGGATCGACCATGACCTTCTGCGCCAGGCCGCGGAGGGCAACGGCTTCAGCGTCGGTCTGCTCAGGGCCCTCTGCGTACTCTACGCTGGGCCGCGCCGCGCCTCGGCGGACGCCGCCATCAGCGAGCCCATTGAGGTCAGCGGCACCATCATCGCGGGCTGCTCCTGCGCGACGACGCTGGCCAGGCTCATGCTGCACGGCCTCCTGCTCCAGGCCAGGGCGCTGCTGCCAGTCGGCAGGGTCGTCAACGTCATCGACGACATAGCAGGCCACGGCATCGGGTCGGCAGCGACGCTCAGCCGAACGATCGCGAGCTTCGTCAGCGGCGTGGTCGAGATGCTGGCGGACAGGCGGCTGCCCATCAACTGGAAGAAGACGAAGGTCCTGGCCTCCTCGGCGGGCCTCCAGCGCCGCCTGCAGCGGGAACCCGACTGGCGGCTCGCGGCCGAGGCCTTTGTCTCGGGCCACCGTGACCTCGGCGTCGACGCCACGGCTGGCAGCCACAGGCGAGTCGCGACTCAGGTCGGTAGAGAGCTCGCGGCGCTGCGGCAGGCCAGCAGGCTCCACAAGATCTTCGGGCCTGGCCTTCGGCAGGCAAGGGTCTTGCGCGCGGGCCCCTCAGCCAAAGCCCTATGGGGCTCGGCCTGCAACGGCATCCCGCCTGGCCGCATGAGAGCCCTGAGGCTGGCAGCGGCCAAGGCGACGGGCAAACTGGCTCCTGGGGCTGCGCTGGGCTTCCTGCTGCAGTGCTCGCCGCGAGGCTGGTGCCAGGACCCGCTAGTGGTGGCCACGGGCTTGGCCGTCCTAGCGTGCACCAATGTCCGCTGGGCAGGCCAGGCCTCCGCGGCGGCGATCCAGGCCTGCATAGCGGATAGCGCCAGGATCGTGAGGCTCCAGCGCCCTTGGGCTGCCGTCAGGGACCCGATCTCGGCCTTGGTGCTCACGCTGCAGGTCATCGGCTGGGGCCTCAGCGGCGACGGCGACTCCCTGCAGGACGAGTTCGGCTGCTGCTACCCCGTCATTCGGTACTCCCCCGCCTTCCTTGCGGAGAAGGCCAATGAGGCGGCCAGGAAGGCGGCAGCCTTCCAGGAGTACGACGCCAGGCCTGATACCCTGTGGCCGTGGCAGCTGCCGCCAAACTGGCGGGCCATCAACCAGCTCCTCGGCGCCGCGCCCACGGAGACGTGGTCCAGCCACCGCTGCGGCTGCCTGCGCAGGCTGGCGTCTCTGTCACTATGGCCGCAGGCCAGGCTGGCCAAGCGTGGCACCGACATCGACGACCGCTGCCTGCTCTGCGGCGAGGAGAGCGGGACTCTGGCCCACCGCCACCACAGATGCCCTGCCTGGGAGGGCTGGCGGCGAGATCGCAGGCCCGCCGACTTGAAGCGAGCTGCCGAGCTGGTGAGCACAATGGGCCACCGCTACGAGGAGCTCTTCTGCCAGGGCCTCTTCGTTGACGCCCAGTACCTGGTGCAGAGGCCGCGCTGGGACCCTCGCTGGGAGCGCCGCTCGCGTGGCTGGGACGAGGGCGCGCTCGTGGTGCCCGCGGGCTCCCTCGTCTTCACGGACGGCTCCTGCGTCAACAACGACTTCCCGATGGTCAGGAGCACGGGCTGGGCAGTGGTGGTTCTCACGCCCGACGGCGAGTGGTTGGCGCAGGCGTGGGGGGCAGTGCCGCCTGCCCTTTTGCCCAGCCAGACGGCGAGGGCAGGCGAGGACTACGCGGCGGAGGTCGCCCTCACGGACATCGTCGGCCACTACCACCTCATGATCGACTGCCTCGGCACGGTCGGGGCTTGCAAGGACGTGAAGAGGGCGGCGGCCCCGACGGCCCAGTTTGCCCACCTCTGGGCGAGGGTCGGCGACGCCGCCGAGGGGGTGCACGTGAAGCACATCCCCGCCCACCGTTCTCGGGCGGCAGTCGAGCAGGGCGTACTCTCGGAGGTGGAGCTCTACGGCAACCGCCTCGCGGACCAGCTCGCGAAGGCGGGCGCGGCGCTGCGCGCCATCGCCGACGAGGAGGCCCTCCTGCTCCAGGGCTGCCTGGCCCGCGCCCGTGACGCGGCGCGGTACGCCGCCGAGTTCGAGGTCCAGGCTACGGAGTCGGGCTTGCGGGACTCCTGGCCCATCAGCTCGCTGGAGCTCGTCGACCTCACCCCCTACATGGCGGCGGAGCTAGACGGCGAGACCGACTTCCTGCACGCCGCCGCGGCGGAGCCCGCCCCTGGGACAGGTGGATTCAGCCCACCGACGTCGCAGTCCCAGGGGCGCGGCGAGCTCGAGGTGATGCACGACGCGGAGGTGCGCGGGGCTGCCGCTTCTGCGACTGGCTTCTTGATGGAGCCCGACGCCGAACCTGGCGATGACGTCGGCGTAGCGCAGCCCTCGGCGGCTGACGGCGGCCCCCGCCTCGCCGCGGCGGCGGCCCTGGCAGCGGTGGCGGCAGCTGGCGCCTCCAGCTCGCGGCCTTCGCCCGTGAGGCGCCGCCCCGCCTCGGCCGAGTCGCCCGCGGAGGTGCTGCGCCGTGTAGCCGCGCAGGGCGCAGGAGCATCCGAGGCGTCGCGAGGCCTCGGCGCCCGCGCCCAGCCCGCGCCTGGCGGCGGCGGAGGCGACGAGCAGCGGCCCAGCCCCTGCGGAGGCGGCAGATGCGACCCGTCCAGCGGGATGGAGGGTCAACGGCCACCTCCTCATGGAGTCGCGCGTCGAGGGCGACTGTTCCGAGCCCTTCCTGGTCTGCGCGGCCTGCTGGATGTACTGCCGCCTCCCCAGGTACGCGCACCGCGGCCTGGGCAAGCCGTGCGGGGCCAGCGCGGCGGCGGGGCAGCCCAAAAGCAAGAAGGGGTCCAGAGCCCAGGCGCGGTCGGACTTCGCACGTGGGATCCTGCCAGCGTCGAAGGGGCCGATCGCGCCGCTGGCCTCGCCAACGGCAAGCACGCGCCTGCGCTGGGCGGCGGCACTCCAGGCCAGGCAGGGCCACGGCTCGGAGGTGCAGGCGACCGAGGCGGCGCCCGAGCCAGCGCTGCGGCAGCCTGCTGCAGCCCCGCCCACCCCGCCTGCGGCTGGCGCTGGTAGCCTGATGGCTGCGCCGCCGAGCGCCACGGCGCCGCGGCGCCTGGCAGCGGCGGCCCCGCGGGCGGAGGCAGCCGAGCCGCGGCGGATCCGCCCAGGGCTCGAGGGCGTCCTCCGAGCCCACGGCTTCGCGGACGCTGCGGCGGCCCGCGAACGCGGGCGAGCCGCGAGGGCGGCGGCCGTCCCGCCTGCTTGAATTTGGTTGCATGAAACCGTGGACCTTTGTCCGCGCCCACAGAGATAAAAAAAAATGCCTTCACCGTACGGTAGGTTCGCGTCGTGTAGAGCGGCGGCGACCCCGCCTCTGGCGCTCAACGTTGAACCTCGCTGGCGACCCAGCATCGGTCGATGTTGAATGATGTGACGTTTCGGAAACGGCCGATCGTTCCAGGTCGAACGGCCCCCGCGGTGTCAGAATCCAACGCCGGAGTCGGCACGACACGAACCGCCGTACAGCGTTTTTTTCGAAACCTCGTGCGCCGCCGCCCCGTCTCGGCACACCCCTCACGAGGATCGTGGCCCTAGAGGGCTCCACCGAAACGGGTGCCCCGCAACGCGGCACCCACAGTTGCACATGGCTGGGTCCTTCGCCAGGATGATCGAAACCCCTCCTGCGCACCGCCACGAGGTGAGGGGCAGCATCTGCCACAAGCCATGCCCGGACACCGCCGGGGCGCCGCCGCTCCTCTGGGCCGACGGCGCGTGGGCCCGCCGCCTGCCGGACGCCCTCTCCGCGGAGGACGGCGCCGCGGCGGAGGAGAATGCGACGGCCAGCGCCTCTCCCTCCTCCCTCCTCCTCCCTCCTGCTTCCTGCTTCCAGCTTCCTGCTTCCTGCTTCCTGCTTTTGTGCCTCCTGCTTCCTCCTGCCTGCTTCCTCCTGCCTCCTTCCTCCTTCCTGTTTCCTCCCTCCTCCCTCCTTCGTCCCTCCTCCCTCCTCAATCCCTGGTTGGCTTCTGCTTCCTGCCGGCTGTATGGTCTCCTGACGAAGCCGCACCCAGCCAGGGCCGGTCGGTCCTGAGGGGTTGATCATTCTGGGGTGCCTTGCAGCGGCGTGCTGCGGCACACGGCGGGCCTTGTGGTCGAAGGGGGGTTGCCTGGAGGCGAGGGAGACGAGGACAAGAGGGGAACACAGGGGAGGCGGGAGAGGGGAGCGAGGAGGGACCGCCCGAGCCCCAGAGAATCCCCAGAGCTCCCTGGCGAGGGGAGCTCCGGGGAGGGGCTTCCAGGCCACAGACCCTGGTCCCTGATAGTTGAAAGGTAAAGTAAAGGTAAGTTTCCTCCCACGTGTACCTACGCTCTCTGTCTGAGCCGCTCCTGCGTGGTGGGCCGTCGGTCAGGGGAAGGGGGTCGCGGTGGACTTCGTGGTTGTGGGGGGGTGCTCAGGGGGGGGGGCGTGGGGGTGAGCGGCCTAGTCTGTGCGGCGCGGGGGGGAGATGGTCATCTCCAGTAGGGTGGCCGCCGCCTCTGTCGCCAGGCGGCAAGGAGTTGGTTCGACGTGTCGGAGTCGTCCGAGATGGCGTCCTCGTCCTCCTCGGGGCTTGTCTCCCCTGACGAGACACAGCTGTCTTCGAAATCGTGCTTGTGGGGGGTGTCCGCGAGACTGTCACGTGGGCTGTCTTGGTAGCCGCGCCCGTCTTCGTGCCAGCCTTGGCCGTCGCTGTCGTGGGGGTGGTCGCGGGGGTCTTTCGCGGGGGTCGCCGTCGCGGAGTTCGTCGCCCAGAGGCCGTCGTAAAGGGTGTTGTGGCGCAGGGTTCGTCGCGGGGGCCGTCGTCGGGGCAGTCGCGGGGGCTGTCGCAGGGGCCGTCGCGCAGTGGCTGCCGTACGGGTTCGCCATCGTGGGGGGTCGTCGGGGCGTTCGGGTTGAGCGGGAGGTCGTGGGGCCGTGGTGTGGCTGGGGTGGGGTGTCCCAAGGAGTGTCGTCGGCAGTCCCCATGACCGCTTCCCCGGGCATGCCCTCCGCGGGCTCCCTCGCAAGGTATGCGGTCACTCGGGACTTGGGGCCCGTCGAGGGGCCGTCGGCGCCAGCCCTGGGCTTGCCAGCGGCCCCTATGGCCGCTTCCGCGGGGATGTCCCCCCACGGGCTCCTTCGCAGGGCATGCGGTCGCTCGGGGCGCGGCCGTCGCGGGGGCCTCTGAGCAGGGGGTCGGGGGGGGGGGCGTCGGGCAGGGCAGCGGGTCCCCCTCAGGGCAGGCGGCCACTCGGGATCCTGCCCAGGGGCCCGCGGCGCAGGCTGCGGGCGGGCCGGCCGGCCCCCGCGGCCGCCTCCTGGGGCACGCCCCCCCTCTCTCGGGGCCTGCCCCTCGGGGCTTGCGGCCACTCGGGCCACGGCCGCCGCGGCGGTCGTGGCGGCCGTCGTGGGGGGATCGCCGTGGGGGGCGGGGGCAGGCGTGCGCGGGGGGCGGCGTGGAAGGCCGGCGTGGTGGTGGGTCGGGCGGGGGGCTCCGGGGGGTGGCTTCGGCTGTCCCTGATGGCCGCTTCCCCGGGTGCGCCCTCCGCGGGCTCCCTCGCAGGGCGTGCGGCCACTCGGGGTGCCGAGCCCGCTGCGGGGAAGGCGGCGCCAGCTTTGGCCCGGCCAGCGGCCCCTGTGGCCGCTTCGGCGTGCATGCCCTCCACGGGCTCCCTCTCAGGGCATGCGGCCACTCGGGGTGCTGCCGTCGTGGGGGCCGTTGGGTGGGGGGGTCGCAGAGGGATAGTGGCACGCAGGGATGTAGGGGGGCAGCAGGAGGCCCTCGTTGTCGCCGTGGGTGGCGGTGGCGTTGGTGGCTTAGTAGCCGGGCGGCCCGGCCATGGCGGAGACGCTGTGGGAAGGGTTGTCGCGGCAGCTTCTTTCGTAATGGGGGAACTGAACGACGATGCATTGGACGGTCTCCTTGTCGGATCTCCTGGTACGTCCGAGCGCTGTGAAAATGCTGGGCAGCTGGGACCACACAGTCTAGATATCATCCGTGCTTATCTTTGTTCTCCCAGAGTGCGCGGGGAATCCAAGTCTTTCGATGGCTTTGATGGTCGCAGACTTGGTCGTCGTTTGTGCCACCTGGTTGGATGAGACGGTCCTGATGAAAGGGGGGATGGAGAAAACCTTGGGATTGTGAGGTCTGGGCCTGGTTGGGCCGGGCAGGGTCTCTTAGGAGTCCATCTGGCTGCACCTCGCGGCCGCAGGCAGCATCGCGGGCGCCTCTGCCATGGCGCGGCGGGCGCCACGTCTGGCCATCGCCCGCTGCGGGACCCCCGTCGAGTGCCTGGCGGGGGTGTCCACGCCCCCGAGTCGGGCTATGGTTTCGTTTCCTCCTCCCCCTCCTCCCCCTCCTCCTCCTCCTCCTCCTCCTCTTCCTCCTCCTCCTCCTCCTCCTCCTCCTCTTTCCTCATCCTTCTCCAACGCCCCCCCCTGGAGGCGGCATTGACTCCCGTGGAGGCGGCGCCGGCTCCCGTGGCGGCGGCGTTCCCGGAGCCCACGTCGCAAATTCCAGATTGGCAGAACTCCACGCTCAACTCCACACTCGAGGAGCCAGCTCAAGAGCAGCCGATCACCGAGGAAGAGATCCTGCAGGAGAACAAGCGCTTGCGGGCGGAGGTCGAGGCGCTCACGACGTCGGAGCCGCCGCTGGAGTCGCAGCGCTCAGACAGGCGCTCGAAGTCGAAGCAGGAGCTGGGCGCCACGGTGGAGGCGACTGTTGGCTTTGGCTTTTCGGAGGAGTCGCTGCCATTTGTCGACCAGGATGGCCAGGGTGCCAACTTAACGGTTGAGGAGCCCGCGCCACAGCCGGAGGCTGCCGCGGAGGACGAGGACGAGCGGTTGGCACGGGAGGAGTTCGAGAGGCAGGCGGAAGCCGAGCGCCAGCTGGAGGCCAATTCCACAGTTCAGGAGCCAGCGCCACAGCCAGAGGCTGCCGCGGAGGACGAGGACGAGAGGTTGGCACGGGAGGAGTTCGAGAGGCAGGCGGAAGCCGAGCGCCCGCCGCAGGCCCACGTCACCAAAGAAGCCACCGCCGAGGAGCAGCAGGTGCCATCGCCAGACGAGCAGCAGGCGCCGCCCGAGATTACCGAAGAAGCCATGCAGCAGGAGAAGTCGGAGGCGGAGGCCGTTACTTTGAAGGAGCCACTGCCGATGATTGACGGCGACGGTCGGGAGGCCGAGTCCGCAGCTGAAGAGCCAGCGCCACACCCAGAGGCTGCCACAGAGGATGCCAAGTCCAGCACGAAGGAGCCAGCACCGCAGTCAGAGGCCGAGGGGGCCTTGCTAAAGCTCGACAGGGACGAGCGGATGGCCAATGCCACAGTTCAGGAGCCAGCAGCAGCGCCAGATCCGGAGGCTGCATTTTCTGGCGTCTGAGCCTTCACTTTTGGCGTTCTGTGTCTAGAGCACGATCGATACACGAATCGGCCTCGGAGAGCTTGACGCTGCCAACCTTGACACACCTCTTGTGAAACTTTAGGAAGGGTGATGAGCCGCAGACTCTTGAAGAGTCCAGGGCGTGGCAGTGCACCAGTTCACGGATTTAGTCCATGGCGAGTCGCATGTGCCTCACATGCGAATCGTGGATGTGCGTATGCATATGTGCAAACAGATGTTTGTGATCACCCAAAAGTCGATGCATGCGTTCATTTAAGTATGCGTGTACTTTTAGATGCAGATGTCTGCGTATACAGTGTACAGAGAGCATGTGCCTGCCGTTACATGTGCATGTACGTGTTTGCGTACACGTATGAATGACCATGCGCCCCCCAGAATGGCTCCACCCCGCCAGATGTCTCCAGACCTCGGATTTGTTCGAGGGATGCCAGTCAGCGTGCGATCCTCACGGCAGAAAGGAGCTCAGGGCCTGCGCCCGTTCCAGGTCGGCCCGTCCTTTCGAAACACATTTGGGCCCCTGGGCTGCTGTGCAGGTCTGAGGAGCTGCCGCGCAGAACTGCCTCACGCGTGCAGGCGGCTCTGTGGGCTTGGGGCGATTCTCTGCTGCCTCCCTTTGTGCACCTGCGCGACTCCTCGCCATCCGCCACTTAGCCGCCCAGCCGATGCCACGACCTTCGGCTGCCGCCACCGTTCGGCGGCGCCCGGGAGGGGTCGACGCGAGGGGCCTCAGAGGCCTTCCCGCCTTCTGAGACGCCCGATTCGAAGCCTCCGAGCCCTTTCCGAGGAGCTCCACCCCTGCCTCCTTAGAAGGCCCGCCCACCCCCATCGGAGAAGAGAACGACTGGGCCAGGTCGGAGGGCACCAACTATACACCAACACCGATCCTGGCCCAGAATCACCCTGGGCCCAGGATCGGTGTATATGCATTCTTGCGCAAGGCAGGAGGGCGTATACACCGATCCTGGGCCCAGGGTTATCCTGGCCAGGATCGGTGTTGGTGTATAGTTGGTGCCTTCCTACCAGGGGAACCTCCGCCAGGCGGAGCTCGGCCCAGGCCGCCTTCCGCTTGGCAGAGCTCCGCCTGGCCGAGGTCCGCTGGCCGAGGCCAGCCGGGTCGACGCGAGGGGCCTCAGAGGCCTTCCCGCCTTCTGAGACGCCCGATTCGAAGCCTCCGAGCCCTTTCCGAGGAGCTCCACCCCTGCCTCCTCAGAGGGCCCGCCCACCCCCGTCGGAGAAGAGAACGACGGGGCCAGGGGGAACCTCAGCCCAGGCGGAGCTCGGCCCGGGCCGCCTTCCGCTCGGCGGAGCTCCGCCTGGCCGAGGTCCGCCGGCCGGGGCCAGCCGGGCCGATTGTAGCTGGTCGAGTTCAGTCGGACGTTCTGATGAGGATGAATCGGGTCAGACGAGAGGGGGGGATTGGGAAAGGGGGGGCTACGAAATTTGCTGCCTGCAGCTGGTTTCGGCCCCACCGAGGGGCCCATGCCGGGAGGCGCCGGAAAAATCAGCTGCGTGAGCTGATTCTCAAACCCCCCCTTTGCTATCCCCCCCTTTCGCCCGACCCGAATGAACCCGCTCTACAGCGTTCCAGCACGCTCTCAGAGCGTTCTGGAACGCTCTGAGAAGGCCGCGGCACCCGAGACCCGAGACATCCTCCAGAGCCGCCGGATCTCAGAGATTCTCGATGTGTCCTCGCCCGATTTTTGCATCCTCGTCCTGGCTTCGTCTTTGCCGAGGCCGCCGAGGAGGCTGCTGCGGAGGCCAAGGCGGCAGAAGAGGCTGCGAAGGCTGCGTCGGAGACCAAGGGTGCAGACCAGGCCGCCGATGTTGCTTCAGATGCCAGTGCCGCGGAACAGGCTGCGAAAGCTGCCGAGGAGACCAGAGCTGCACAGGAGGCAGCAGAGGCTGCCGCGGAGGCCAAGACTTTCGAGGAGGCTGCCGCGAAGGCCAACGCGGCAAAGGAGGAGGCGGCGAAGGCTGCCGCAGAGGCCGAGGCGGCCATGGAGGCGGCGAGGAACGCCGCAGCGGCAAAGGCTGCAGCTGCGGCCAAGGCCGCAGAGGAGACGGCGAAGGTTCTCGCGAAGGCCAAGACTTCCGAGGATGCTGCTGCGGAGGTCAGAGCTGCAGCGCCGCCAGCGCCAGCCGCGATCACAGAAGACCGCGTTGACAAGGGGCGGCCACAACCTTCTCCTCCGCCGACAGCGCCCCCGACATTGGAGCCGACGCCAGAGCCGACACCCGAGCCGACATACTTTTATGATGGTCCAGGCATCACTTGCTCGTGTCACGTGCCGGCCTGCTTCCAGACCTACGACCTGAATGGCGATGGCTGCCTCACCCAGAATGAGTGTGATCTGCACGCGCCCATCCTTGACTACTGTTTCACGGTTCCCTCAGGTTGCGGGCCGGAGAAGTGGGACATAAATGATGACAGCTGCATCGATTCAGTTGCGTTGCCGCGCGGATTCCGCCAGTGTTTGCCGAGGGGGGATGGGCTGGAAGTGGTGTGTGTAGGGGGGGCAGTGTAGAACGTGTGTCTGGACGCCCTAACCTGAGCATGTCCTGTTGGCCCGTCTCCTGCTTAGCAAAGATCAGACCTAACGACCAGGAAAGGACCCAGTACGCACGCGTGGTGTCGCCGCCACGCAGGCAGCTAAGCGGCGAAATCAGGCTACGGGTCGAAGAAAGAAGCTCAGAGTCGGCCCAGCTCAGAGGCAGCAGGGCGTGCTGGGTCCTCCCATAGGGGACAGCGCAGCATGACTTGCGGGGAGACATCCGCAATGGGGGGAGGGGGGGCGAGGGGGCCCGACCGACGGGAGGGAAAGAACCGCGGAGTGGGGGAATGCACTGCAGGGAGAGGCGGAGGACAGTTGTAGACGTGTTGGGCGCACTGGCCCCGAGCACGCACGTGTGCAAACCGCTTCGAGCGCGGTGGCGGACATTAACGAGTTTGAGCGGGTTTACGAGGTCAATCAAACAGTGTGTCCACAGGAGGTACCAGAGGCGTGCGACGAGTGCCCGCAGGGCAAGTACATCGTCCCGAATCCTTGTGAGTGCGTAGACTGCATTGGTGAAACGCGCAGGTGTTGGGGAACGGAATCCCTCACATGACCACGCAGATTTGCAGGCGATCTGAGGCCCCCATCAACCCAGTTCCCTGGAATATCAAATGTCCTTGTGGAAAACAGTTGCAATGCAGGGATGAGGCCGGGGGCTGGGGCGTCATGCTCCGGTCGTCCGGTCATGCGTCCAGTCATGCTCTTTTGGGCTGTGCTTGGGTTTTGACGTCTATGCCCCCATATCAGCTTCGGTCTGGTCAGGGCTTCCCTTGTCACCCCCAGGCGCCGCTCCACAGAGTGCACTTCCTGTGCGGCTCCCCTCGTGCCCTGCCAGAATCCCGACGTGGACGAGTGTTGCGATCCTTATCTTCCAAGGAGTGACCCACCTCCAAATGGCAGTATTCCTGTTCATGTCCCGTATCAAACGTGCACTGAGTTCTCTCTGGGGGACACCATCACCATCACTGGCAGATTAACAAGTGACCCGTCCACTACTGTCACGCACACGTCAGTCGTGATTGGGATTACCCAGATTACTGGGGGATACGAACTCGATCTGCACGACCCGCTCCCAGGAGACTTTGAATATGATGCGACAGTTCAGCAGACTTGCACTTCCACTGACGGGACTCAGGTGAGCGGCTCATTCTCTCCCTCTGCGAGTGGTTGTTGCTGCGCATGTGGCACTGATTGTTGCGAGACAACTGAGGTGTGCACTCTGTACCCCAACGGCACCGGTGTATGTTCCAATGCTGGCCCGTACCCCGAATTCTCGACTCCAGCCCCTACCGTCGGGGCCAAGGGCGACCCACACCTGGTTAACCTTCAAGGAGAGCACTTCGACATCAACCACGAAGGTGCGTTCACGCTGCTCCGCTTCCCACAGGCCGCCGAGTTGCCAGCCGAGTTCGCCTTCAAGGCGGTAGTCCAGGCGGACGCGGGGAAGCCGTGCACCACGTACATCACCCGCGCGGAGATCTCGGGCGCCTGGCTCGGCGGTAAGTCCGTGGAGATCCGCTGCTACCGCAAGTCCCACTCGAACGATACGGACGCCTTCCTCGGCGCCCGTCTGCTCGACGGCAACGGTGATTCCCCCTGGGTGACCATCGAGGAATTCGAGACGAAGGTCAGAGGAGGAAAAGGTACCAACACCGCGGCTCGTCCTGGAGAGCCCTCGTCGCCACGGTTGGATATTCTCATCGAATTGCTAGTCAGAATGCACCCCAGGAGAGGTCCGGGGGGTTAGGGGTATCTGTACCGCCTTGTTCCCCTGGAAGGACCATGTGCTGTCCGACTCGGAATCGGACATCGAGGTTTCGCTGGACAAGGCGACCTGGTTCCCCAAGAAGCGCTCAAAGGCGGGGCCGACCGCGGCTGGCATGTTTACCCTCTCCCTGCGCAACAAGAAGAGCCCGACTGGCGCCAAGATCACCTTGCGCCAGGACCTGCCCGAGCAGCAGCACCTCAACGTGGCGGTGCGGCAGTTGTCCCAACTTGGTCGTGTGGATGTCGGCGGCCTACTCGGCTTCGATGCGCACCCAGAGAGCCTCGAGCGCCCTTCTGCCGCGTGCGTCCATCACAGAGCCACGGCGCGCTACCGCATCGAGAGCCAGGACGACGCAGATCATGGCTACTACTTCCGGCCAGCGTGGAAGGACCGTTGGGACAAAGCTCGCGCAGGGGGGCGTTCGCGAGACAACGAGGCGGCCGCCAGCTTGGTGGGCAGATTCAATGGCGAGGGCGGCCTGGATAATATGATGTGCAAGTGCCCGAGCGATCCGCACGGCGACGCCACTGGCAGCATCGAAGGAGTACTCGTCGGGGAGGCGAGCTTCATGTTCGCCAAGGCGTCTTGGGAGTAGGCTCGCACCTCTGAGTCGCGTCGCTTTGGCACGTACGGACGCGTGCTGCCGACAGTACCCTACCCTCCGGGTTCCTTTTCACACCGTGAATGGAACTGTCTTGGACAACTTGCGCCGCAGACAATCCGAACACTGGCACTCGTTGTTGCAGGATGTTGACCAGATCTGAGGGCTACGGCCCCGCACTTCCGCCCCGAGAGGGCACCGTCTTCCTGACCGCATGAATTGCTGTTCTCTCGCTCACCCTTCTGGTGCTGACAAAACAGAACCCCCAAGACGGCCTATGTCGGCCCAAGAGACGCCCAAGATGGCCCCAGCACGGTCCAAGAGCGCCTCAAGAGTGCCCAACATGCCCCAAGACGGCGCAGAGAGGCCCACATGACCGCTCAAGAGCGCCCCAGGAGAATTTCTTACGATGGCCTCCACGTGCGCATGAGTTGATCGTCTAATGTGTGCACCTTCGTGTTTGTGTTCGAGGGATGGTGGCCGTCCCGTCCCACCTGTGGTATATAGCTTGCGTTGATGCGGGCAAGATTTATATCCATATCCAGTGCGTCTTGGACTTTCTTGGAAGGGGCGCCACATGGCCTCATTGGATATGGATAAGCATCGAGCCTCTAGGTGGCAAGTGTATCTATATCCAGTGCGCCTCGGGTTTCTGGGGAAGGGAGCCCGAAACTACATACTGCAGTGGATATGGACAGCAGTATTCGGGGGCGGACAGAACCCCCAACAGTGACACGTCGATTAGTGAATTGTCCGTTTTCGCTTCTCGAGAGGGCGCCGTGGCCGTTATTTTCCAGGCTTGCGCCCGCCAGGTTTGGGCCTCAGGTCATTTTCACTAAACCACGTTTTACTAAAGGGGGGTCTGTCCACCCCCGAAGTATGGCCCGCAGTTGAGGCGATAGCACGCTTCCTGAGCACAGTGTGAGGAAGTCTCGGGCGAAACGACTGCTGGACATCGCTTCTACCACTACGCAAATGCGGCGCTCCCTCGTGGGGATACACAGTGAAGTGCTTCCGTGGCTTTGTGGGCCCTCCCATCAGCTGGGAGCGATCGCTCGGGGTCCTCCGAGCACGCGACCGGCGCCCGACAGGTGAGCGAGCACAGCGCTTGGCGCCCGACCAGAGAACGAGCACGCGACTGACGCCCGTCAAGTGAGTCCAGATTTCTAGAGCCTTATCTCAGTACTTGAGCACGTATCCACTCCTCGTAGAAATTCCTTCTTTATAGTTTCACATACATACATGCACGCATCTCTGTGTATATATGTCCAGTTTTGAAACGTGAAGCGGAGCCTGGTGGAGTGAGAGCGCCGCATTCGTCTGTGCCTGGCCCGCTGGCATCGGGCTCAAAGTGCAAGCCGACGGCACTTCGATGGCCTTCGCCGCATGGCTGGCGGGCGAGGCGGTGCACGGCGCTGGGCAGGCCGCGCTGCTGTGGGCGGCACGCGGTGAGTGCCCGGCCTGCACGTGCGCGCCGGCCCTCACGTGCGCCCCGGGGCAGGAGGCGGCGCGCCTGGACTGCCCGGGCGGACCCCCTGGGTGGGCGCTGTCAGCGGTGGCCCTCGCTGGCGCGACCGGCTTCGCTGGAGGGGTCCTGGCCGCGCGGTGGCTGGGCTCCTGGCAGCCGATCGCTGGCCCTCCGCCCAAGCCGTCGTTGGAGGAGGAGGCTAGAGCGCAGGCTGCCGTAGCCAGAGCGCGGGCCTCCGCCTCGTGATGGCCAGCTCTGCAGCCGCTGCGGCGGCAAGTGGACGCCCTCTGGCCTTGGAGGGGCTCGACGAGGGCGACTTCATCCATGTGCTGTATCGCGTGGGAGGCGCTCGGATCTGGCACGAACGCTTGATCCTGGCTTTTCCGACGGTGCCGCCTTTCGGGACAGGGACTCCAGATGGGCACGCCTACGTGGAGGCCATCATGCAGAACGGGGCGGACATAATGGAGTACGCGATTCCCGCCGGCGCCTCAGCTGGCGCCGTGGCGGCCGCCACAGCAGGGGACCAGGTCTACCGCTTCCGTGGACTCCCTCTTCCTGGCGATGTCGCGACAGGTGCCGCCTCTGTCCGAGGCACTCTTGGGCTGGGCGCGGGACCGCCGATCGCGCTGAACACGGCAGGGCGTGTCATCGCGGCCGTGGTCGGCGCTCCGGCTGGCGCTGGGCCTGCGGGGGCCCCCGCTGCTGGCGAGGCCGGCGGCGCTCCTGGGGCTCTGGGCGGTCTGGCAGGGCTAGCCGCAGCCCTTGGGGGCGGCCCAGCGGGCGCGCCAGCTGGCGCAGCCGCCCTTGTACCAGTGGCGGCAGCCCCTGCTCCTGCGGCTGGAGGTGCTCCAGTGGTCGCGCCCTTTGGCGGAGGAGGAGCGCCCCCAGCTGCTCCAGGCGCTCTCGGCGGCGCCGCCGTGGCCGTGCCTGCACCTGGGCCTGCCGCCGCCCCTGCGCCTGCTGTGGGTGGTGGCCTGGGTCCTGGTGGAGTGGCCGCGGCACTGGCCGCCATCGCTGGCGCTCCTGGAGGCGACGCTCGGATTCAGTCGGTGGCTTTCGACGCGCAGGGAGTGAGGTGCGTGGACTTTCGAGCTGCAGTGGTTCGCCTTCACGAGCTACCTTGGGGCGACTGGCCCCTCAAGGGGCCCCGCGCGCTATTTTGGGTGCTGAACTTCATCTGCCGCAATGGGGGTACTCCCCTTGGCAGGCACGCGAAGTGGGTCTCGGAGGGGTACCTTGAGGCGGACGATCCTGGGGTCGATACCCACTTGCTGTGCTGCCGCCTCCTCGAGCTTGGCGTGGTCTACGATCAGCTCCACGTGACTAACGTCGCTGCCATGGAGTTGGTCGGTCGGACTCTCCAGACTCAGGAGGAGCTGTGCCGAGACAGGTTCGCCGCGGCCTCGGAGTTCGGCTCAGACGTAGCTCTGATGTCGGGTGCTCTGGACGCAGGCGGCAACGTGTGCGTGGCGCCGGCTCTGAGGGACTGGCTGGCCGCAGAGAAGGCACGCGAGGCCCACGCAGCCAAGGAGCGGCGCAAGGCGCGCGAGGGGCGGCTCCTCGCAGCTGGCGGCAGCTCTGGCGGCGGGGGCGGCAGCGATGGCCGAGGCCGAGGCCGCGGCCGCGGCCGCGGACGCGGCGGAGACGGCGGGAGGGGCGGCCGCACAGCCCCAGACAGCAATGACTGAGAAGCACCAGGGGGGGCAGTTGGGCCAGCCTCTCCCTGGGCCCTGGGACAGGAGTGCGGCTTCGGCCGCAGGCCCGGGCACGCGTGGAAGTCCCCGTCACCGCGACGTCTTCCCGCTGCCGATCCCCACTGCTGCTGCCCGCCCACCCTCAGCGCCAGGAAGTCGCCGCTCGGCTAGGCGTGCTGGGTATCGCCTTCATCGTGAGGATAGGGTTCGCTCGGCCGCCAACGCACTTAATTCACTTTATGGTTATCGGTCCTCGCCTCCAGCTGTGGCTCACGAGGGGCAGCGCCAGGCCATCATGCGCATCTCGGACAGCATCGACGTGCTTGGGCGCCAGCAGTCAGAGTTCATGTCTGGTAACGCTGCCGAAGACGGAGCCCTCAGGGAGCTCCTCTCTTGCGCCAACCTGTACGGGTCTGGCGCCGCGACGTCGGCCCCCTACGTCAGCGACAAAGTCGCATGGCCCGCCGCAGGTGGGGCCCCAGTTGACATCATCGAGCTGGTGCCGCCTGTGGATAAGGTCTGGCTGGAGGGTTGGCGGAGTCATATGCTTCGAGATCCGCGTGCTGCTGCTGCTCTGGCTAGGGAGGCATGCCCGAAGGGGCCTTTTTGCGATCCCGCCCTGACGCGCGACGTGAGCACGTACGGTCGTTTTTTGATTCAGATGTACGAGAGGCAGATGGTCAACTTCGCGGCGGACTCCGGTCAGCCGCACACCGTCGGCCTCTTCTTCGTTCCCAAGAAGACGGGGGCCCTCAGCATCATTTTCGATACGAGGGCCGCCAACTGCAAGTTACCTAACAGCTTGTTCTGATAGGTTTCTAGTGGGGTCAAAAGAGAGCAGCAGATGACTCCACAGGGGGGTCTGGGCGGGTGCCGGACAGGGTGCCGCAGAAGTCGTTTTAAGCCAACAGTCACACACACTTCGTGCTCTTCGACCTCCCAGAACTCCATTCCCGGGCCACATTCTGAATGCCCGGAGCCAACTGTAGGCCACTTCGTGCTCTTCGACTTCCCAGAACTCCATTCCCGGGCCACATTTTGAATGCCCGGAGCCAACTGTAGGCCACTTCGTGTCTTCGAGTTCCCAGAACTCCATTCCCGGGCCACATTTTGAATGCCCGGAGCCAACTGTAGGCCACTTCGTGCTCTTCGAGTTCCCAGAACTCCATTCCCGGGCCACATTTTGATGCCCGGAGCCAACTGTAGGCCACTTCGTGCTCTTCGAGTTCCCAGAACTCCATTCCGGGCCACATTTTGGATGCCCGGAGCCAACTGTAGGCCACTTCGTGGTCTTCGAGTTCCCAGAACTCCATTCCTGGGCATGATTTTGAATGCCCGGAGCCAACTGTAGGCCACTTCGTGTTCTTCGAGTTCCCAGAACTCCATTCCCGGGCCACATTTTGAATGCTGAGGCAGGCTGATGCTGAGGCTGAGGCAGGCTGAGGCTGAGGCTGAGGCTGAGGCCGAGGCTGAAGGCAGACTGAGGCTGAGGCTGAAGCAGGCTGAGGCTGAGGCTGAGGCAGGCTGAGGCTGAGGCTGAGGCAGGCTGATGCTGAGGCAGGCTGAGGCTGAGGCTGAGGCTGATGCAGGCTGAGGCTGAGGCAGGCTGAGGCTGAGGCCGAGGCTGAAGGCAGACTGAGCTGAGGCTGAAGCAGGCTGAGGCTGAGGCTGAGGCAGGCTGAGGCTGAGGCAGGCTGAGGCTGAGGCTGAGGCAGGCTGAGGCTGAGGCTGTGACTGTGACTGCCGTTGCCACTGCGACTGTCGTCGCGAATGCGACTACGACTGCGAGAACAGCAGAATTCTACAACTGGATTCTCATCTGAATCTTAAGGGGAATGCTTCCATATATGCTCCTACACATCGCTGTTAGGTTGCTTTGCCGGGATAATTTTTAGACGCGCCCAGCACTCGGCTACCTTCGGCCTCAGCTTTCAGTTCGATCGAGGCGCCGATCGAAGGCATGTACATGTCGACCTGCGACCTGGAGTGTGCATTCTACCACATGAGGCTCCCAGCGGGCATGGAAGTGATGTTCGCCTTGCCGCCGATCAAGGCGGGGGCGCTTCAGGAGCTCGGCCTCATCGACCGCGACTTCGACCCGTCGATGTCGCTCTCGCCCCAGGTCCTTGTGCTTCCCATGGGCTTTTCGTGGGCGCTGCATCTTTGTCAGGCTGCCGCTCGCACTGTGCTTTCGGACGACGGCCACTCTCTGGATCAGACCGCTCAGGATGGTCATCCTGGGGTTGACGTTGTCGAGAAGAGTGCCGTGGGGGTTGCCGCCTACGTCGATAACATCCTCGTCTTCGGCGGCAGCAAGTCCTTGGTGGATCAGACTATGGCCAGGCTGGTGAGCACCTTCAGGAGTCGCGGACTTCCAGTTCACGAGATCGAGCCCGCTTCTCTGGATGCCGACTTCCTTGGCCTCAGCCTCCGCGGTGGGAGATATCTTCGCATCAAGGTTCGGAGCATCTGGAGACTTCATTTCGCGATTTCAAGTTTGTTAAGGCGTGGATGGTGCTCCGGCCACATGCTTCGGGCGGTGCTTGGTCACATCGCGTGGACGTCTATGATCCGCAGAGAGGTGCTCACCGTGCTTCACAGCTCCTATGGCTACGTCGGCGCCTTCGGCCCGAGGCACGGCAAGCTCTGGCCGTCAGTGATCAAGGAGCTCATTATCATTAGAGATTTGCTCCCGATTTTGACTTGCGACCTGTCCGCAGAGTGGCGCACCGTGATGACGGCCAGCGACGCCTTTCCCTTTGGCCTCGGCGTCATGCGACGTCGGGCGCCTGCTGCTACTTGTGCTGCTGTTGGGCGGTACTCGGAGCGGTGGCGCTACAAGGTCGAGGGCGGGCACCAGGCTCGCGTGCGGTCGCTCAAGGCAGGAGAACTGGTGGCCGTCGAGGGGTCAGGCGAAAACAGACAAAGTCCGCCCTCTCTCTCCCCATCTCTCATGTCAAGATCCGACGGTAACTGGGGATACTCTGTGGAGCACCTGGGCAGCTCGGGGAGTCACGCGTTGAAGAATCCAGAGGACATCCAGGAGGCCGGCACCTTGGGCGTCTACGGTAAGGACTTGGGCGTCCCGGTGGAACTCAACATGACCGAGGCCCTGAGGTTCAGCACGGACCCTTGGGAGCTCGACGAGGTACCTGGGCATATTACACGCAAAGAAGCCTGGAAAAGCGTCAGTGCACAGTCGGTGTCTCTGGGGGCCAATATTCTTTACCTGGAGGGCGAGGCTTTGGTCACATCCTATCGGCACCTTCTTCGTAACTTGGGCAGTCACGGCAAGCGCATGGTAGCCTTAGTCGACAACTTGCCTTTGGCGTTTTCTTGTGCGAAGGGGAGAGCCCGCTCGAGTTTCTTGAGGTCATGTCTCAACCAGTTGTGCTGTCTGTCGTTAGCCACAGGCTCGAGGCTTTGTGTGCGCTGGATCGCTTCAGAAAGGAACCCATCAGACCCGCTCAGCCGTGGGAAGCTGGGTTGGTTCAGCGGCCACCGTCATCTTAGTGATGCTCGGACGCATGGCCGGCGGCTGCGTCGCCCTCTTCGCCCTGCTCTGGCTGATCACGAGGGCGGAGGCGATGCCGCGACGGGGATCGCGCACCCCTTCTGCCTTGACGAGACACCGCGCCAGCCTGGCTGCCAAAGCCGCGGGCGGGCGCACCAGTACTTTGGCCATGGGCCTGCTGGAGCTGCTGGCGGTGAGACCGAACACAGAAGCCTTCTACCGGCAGCTACTACACAGTTTCGTGAGCTACTGTGCGGACCACCACCTGGACTGGAGCACTTTGGGCCAGTTGGACTCGATCCTGGCGGAGTACTTCGCCGCGCGCTACCTGGAGGGAGCAGCTGCGAACGTCGGGTCCCAGACGATAGCAGCCATCTCGCATTTTACCCCAGGCCTCCCGAGACAGATGGGCACCAAGCTGCCGAGGGCCTCTCTTGCTATGCAGGCTTGGAAGCGGCGCGCGCCCGCCTTGACCAGGCTCCCGATCCCCCGGGCTGTGATGTTTGCCCTGTGTGGGATGCTGATCGCCTGGCAGCAGCCTCAGATGGCAGCTTGGTTGGCCATCAGCTTCTCGGCATACCTCCGACCTGCCGAGGCGCAGAGGCTGACGACCGACAGCATCGTGCAGCCGTCGATAGGCGCGGGCGCCGCGCACCAGTTCTGGGGCCTCCTGCGGCACCCCGCAGACCGCGGCCAGGGCGGGAAGACGGGGTCGTTCGACGAGTCGATCCTCTTCGATCTCGATTTGTACCTCGTGCCGGTCCTCATGGCGCTCCGCCTGAAGGGGCCTGTCGCGACGCCTCTGTGGGGTTTCAGTCTTGGCCAGCTGAACCAGATGTTCAGTCTTGCTGCAACGGCCCTGGGCATCAACCACCTGCGCCCCCACTTGTACGGGATGAGGCATGGCGGAGTGAGCGACGACCTCTTGACGCAGAGGCGATCGATGGAACAGGTGTTCCGCAGGGGCCGCTGGGCCGTCATGTCGTCGATGCGGCGCTACGCGAAGGAGACGGCTCCTCTGCGCGAGCTTCAGGGCGTGGCGGAGGACGTGTACGCGCTCGGCCACCTCGTGGAAGGGCGATTTTGCGAGCTGCTGGAGATGGGGTTCATCAGGAGCGGATGCCTCGCCCAGGTGCCCTCCCGGCTAGCGGAGGCGATGCAGCTAGGCGCCCCGGCGCGCGGCAGGCGGGCTCGGAGGAGGCCCGCAGCTGCGGCGCAGTGAGTGCTACGGGCGATGCCGTCCGACAGCACATGGGGCGGCGGTTCAAGGAGGCGGTGCAGCGGGGCTCGCTCTGTCGCAGGCGTGTTGTGTTAGAGCTTTTCAGCGGTTCAGGACACCTCGCCGCCGCGGTGCGCCGACTCGGCCTTTCGGGTCTGGGGCTCGACATCAGGCATGGGCCTCTCGAGGACCACCTCGATGCCACTTTTGAGGAGGTCATCGTCGGATGGCTTTGTAGCCGCGCAGTCGCCGCTGTCTTCCTAGGGACGCCCTGCACCACCTGGTCGCGGGCTCTCAGGAGACCCTTGAGATCTCGCGACCACCCCATGGGCCTCCATCGGTTGAGCACTTCCGAGAGAGCCCGCTTACAGCAGGGCAACGCTTCTTTTGCTTTCACGTGCCGCATCATCAGACTGTGCACTCGTCTAGGGATTCCTGTGATGCTGGAGAATCCAGCGGGCTCTTTGATGTGGTATGCGCGTTCGCTGTCTCGGCTCGTTCACTTACCTTGTGCACGCAGTTGTGATCTTGACCAGTGCCAGTATGGTACTCTTTGGCGGAAGCGCACGAGGATCGTCTCATGGCACGCTGGCCCTATAGAATCCTTATGCCGCGTGTGCCAGGGGAGACGCGGGCTGTGCTCACGCACTGCCAACAAGCATGTATTTCTGTCTGGCCAGAGCCCTGCAGGTTGTAAGTACACAGCGCTCGCAGCTGCATATCCAGCTGCCCTTGCCAATGCTCTCGCACATGTAAGCAAGCGCGCAGTGCTCAAGGCGCCACAGCAAGCGATGGCTAGTCTGGTCAGCAAGTAGCGTGTCTCCGAGACTTCTCGCCTCAGCATCGAAGTGCCTTTTTACTTTTCGGCCGCCTCTGCCACTCTGTCAGTTGCGGCCAGAGCTTCCTTAGGGGTTCGGGAACTCCCCATCTGGTCGGACCTCTGTGCAGTCTGCTCCGTCGCCCAGCTGCTCGCCGGGAAATCATTTCGTGGCAGTCTTTGCTGCCCTAGCCTGGCTCGCGCTCGACACATACAGTAAAAAAGAGACAGAGCCCCTTCAGTCCTCAGGCCCTGTAAGAGGCTCGGAAGGTCTTTGTTCTGGTCCAGCTCTGGCGCTCGGGATCCTCGAGGCGGGCTATATATACACATATGTATAGATATGTATGTGTGTTGTGCTTGCGTTTCGTACCATATGAATGCTGAATTGAGTGTTGTGGTCTACGATGTGTTTGTCGAACGCACGTGGCGGTTCTAGACGCCTGCTTTATGTTCTAGAATTCGCTTCGCCGTTTCAGAACATGGCTTGACGGTCTGGAATCTAACGCGCGCATTTGTTGCCGGCGGTCGAGCTTCTCGGTCCTCTCTGAGTGCGACTGGAGTTGGCCTTGATTCTAGCCTTGGATGGTCTTTTGTGTAATCGGGCGCTGCGTCCGCTCGGCGCGCGCATGCGTCGGAGCAGAACCTCTCGTTTACCCCGCTGCCGCAACTTGCCCTCAACGGTCTTGTGGAAGAATTTGATGGGTGGCGATCTTGTGGGCCAACCAGTATTTTGTTTTCGAGCCCTTGCCCTCCACCAGGGGAAGTGCGCAGACAACCCGCGCCGAACAGCAAGGCTATGTCCTTCATGTCCACTGGGCTCCACTTCTTCACTGCCGGCTCCCACGATGGTGATGTTCTGTCGTCTAAGGCAGGCTGCAGCTGCCCGCTGCAGCCGCTCCGCGCGCCAGGGGCGGCGCCAGGGGCGCCGCCGGGGGGGTGGTCCGGCGCCGCTCCGAGAGATCCGCGCGGGCCTCCGAAAGTTCATGGCTATGCCGCTTTTGCTTCCTCTGAAGGCGGGAGGCGCAGACAGGCGACGAGGAGGATGGGCCTCTTCGCGAAGACCGTCGCCTGCCTTTTTTCGCGCTCGCCCTCGGCCTGCCCTCCTTCCGGGGTGAGTCCAGCGCCGCTCCAAGAAATCCGCGCGGAGCTCCGAGAGATTCTGGTTCTGCCTGATTTGATTCCTCCGTACCCCGTCCCTGAGCCGTACCCTCGCGCGCCCGCTCGCCGCTCGCCTGGCCCGATGGCGTCTCGAGCCCAGGTGCGAGGCGGCCGGTTTTTTTTCGTGATTATGGGCCTCTCTGCTCGCTTGGGCCTCCTCTGCCCAGCGGGCGCTGTCTAGCCCCAGCTCTGGGGGCGCCCCCTCGCGTCTGGGGGACTCTGCCTCGGCGGTCCGCGCCAGAATCGGCGGGTGCTCGGCTGGTTGCGCTCGAGTCGGTGGCCGCCCGAATCGCGGCCCGCCCGTGCAGGACGGAAGGCCCTCGCCGCTGCAGTTTTCGTGCGGTCCTTCGGTTTTGTGTGGCCTCCGTGTGCCCCGCGAGCCCGAGCGGGGCGTCCGAGCCACCGAGGACTACATCGCCACGCGCGTCTCGTACCTGCTGGACTTCACGGGTCCCTGCATGGCAAGGGGCGTGAGACCAGCGGGGGGGGGGGAGGGGGGGGGGGCAGGGGGGAGGAAGAGGAGGAGGAGGAGGAGGAGGAGGAGGAGGAGGAGGAGGAGGAGGAGGAAGAGGAGGAGGAGGAGGAGGAGGAGGAGGACCAGTGTAAACCCAAGAGCCATCAACGATGTTGGAGTAAACCCTCCCTCCAAGCTCCCTCTTCATAGGCCCCTACAACGGCTCCTTTCGATTGATGGAACTGCCTCGTTGGAAGACACCCGTTTGAAGACCCTGAAGCATGCCAAACATTGTTCTCGGGATTCCAACGCCACGGATCAACCTGACTGCTGCATCTTGATCCTGAATTGTGCCCGAACGCCATTCCTAGGACTTCAACACAGAGAATCAACGTATGAATCTGGACCCGCATAATCCTGAATCTTTCCAAAGCACCATTCTGGTACGTCGACGATGGGGATCCGTGAAACTTTTGCAACTGTTTAAAACGAATGTGCGCCGCGCCAAGGCGAGAGCCACATTTTGAAAAGGGCCCGCCCTCAATCCGTGAAACTCTTGCAACTGTTTGAACTGAGTGTGCGCCGCGCTAGGGCGAGAGCCGCATTAAAAAACGGCCCGCCCTCAATCCGTGAAGCTCTTGCAAAGTTTGAAAACGAATGTGCGCCGCGCTGAGGCGAGAGCCACATTTTGAAAACGACCCGCCCTCAGTCCGTGCAGTTCTTGCAAACGTGTTAAACGAATGTGCGCCGCGCTGAGGCGAGAGCCACATTTTGGAAAGGGCCCGCCCTCAGTCCGTGAAGCTCTTGCAAATGTTTTAAGCGAATATGCGCCGCGCTAAGGCGAGAGCCACATTTTGAAAACGACCCGCCCTCGAGCAATGAAACTTCTGCAAAGTTTGAAAACAAATGTGCGCCGCGCTATGGCGAGAGCCACATGTTGAAAGCGTCCCGCACTCCATTTGTGAAACGGTTGCCACATTTTGAGCATCAGAGTCATAATGGTGAGGAGGTCTCAGGCGAAACGCCCGGCCCGCCGTAAAAACTTGCCTCGGGTTGCGACAGGGAGAAGTTAGTTATATGGAAAGGAATGGAGGAGGAGGAAGAGGAGGAGGAGGAGGAGGAGGAGGAGGAGGTAGAGGAGGAGGGGGTCGAGGACGAGGAGCAGGGCGAATATACTCGCGGATTGTATATCTCGTGAGGGTGGTTGGCTCCTGCAGGAAAGCGGCAAGAGAGACAGGATGATAACAAGGAGAAGGCGGAGGATGAGGATGAAGAGGGGTGCGAGGGGCTTGACGAGGAGCAGGGGGAGGCGAAGGACGGGGGCTTGAAGAGGAGGACCTGCAGCAGGGGGAGGAGCAGGACCAGTGTAAACCCAAGACTTCTCAACGATGTTGGGATCAACCCTCCCTCCAAGCTTCCTCTTCACAGGCCCCTACAAGGATTCTTTTCCACTCAGGGAAGTGCCCCGTTGGGGGACAACCGTTTGAAGACCCTGAAGCATGCCAGAAAACCATTGTCGGGACCCCAACTGCACGGATCAACCTGACTGAAGACGATCCTGAATCGTGCCAGAACACCATTCTTGGGATTTCAACACCGCGAACCAATGTAACTGTTGCACACTCACAACCCAGAGTCCTTCCAAAACACTATACCTGGTATGTTGGCCATGGGAACCCGTGACACCCATGCAATGTTTTAAAATAATGTGCGCGGCGCCAACGCGAGAGCCACATTTTGAAAACGAACTGCCCTCAAGCCGTGAAACTGTTGCACATGTTTAAAACTATTGTGCGCGACGCTACGGCGAGAGCCTCATTTTGAAAACCACCCGCCGTCAATCCGTGAAGCTCTTGCGCGTTTAGAAATGAATGTGCGCGGTGCTAAAGCGAGAGCCGCATTTAGAACACCACTCGCCCTCCATGTGTGAATGAGTCTCAGGCGAAGCGCCTGGCCCGCCCTTTCGACCAGCCTCGGGGTGCGACAGGGAGTAGTTTTTTTGATGAGGAAAAGGGATGGAGGAGGAGGAGGAGGAGGAGGAGGAGGAGGAGGAGGGGAAGCAGGTGGAGGTGGAGGGGGAGGACGAGGAGGGAGGAGGAGGAGGACCATTGTACACCCAAGACTTATCAACGATGTTGGAATAAACCCTCCCGCCGAACTTCCTGTTCACAGGTCCCTACAAGGGTTCTTTTCCACTCAGGGAAGTGCCCCGTTGGGGGACAACCGTGCGAAAATCCTGAAGCGTGCCAAAGCACCATGATCAGGACTTCAACGCTACGGGTCAACCTGACTGTTACGTCTTCACGGTCTTGAACCGTGTCGGAATACCATTCGTGGGATTTCAACACCGCGAATGAACGTAACTCTTGCGCCCTGGCAGTTATGAGCCGATCCAAAGCACATGTCTGGTGCGTTAATCGTACGTAGATCCCGTAGTTCGGAGGGCCCGGGAGTGGAACACAAGCGCAGATGAGTTGGTGAACGACGAAATAGCGACCCAGAGGTGTGGAGGCCCTCTGGGAACACATGTCGTCAAGGAGCACCTCGCCTCCGCGGTGGCGCTGCGATTTTGTTATGATGGCGGTTCTGTGCCTGATGTCGGAGAGTCTTTCGGCGTACAGCTTACAGCATATATCGGGGATTAGCAACGCCCAGAGAACATGTGGATACGGTGCAATTATGACCTGGTCGCCGATGCCAAGTCTGTTACTGATCTGTGACTCCGTGGCTTGGAGTACGCAGAGCATGTATGCCGAAACTCTTACGAGTGAGCGGCTTTGTCATCTCACCAAGCAGCCTGAATAGTGAAACTCTTGCACAAGTTTGAAGCGAATGCGCGCGGCGCTAGGGCGAGAGTCACATTTTGGAAAAAAGAAACAGCCCTAATTCCGTGAAGCTCTTTCATATGTTTAAACTTTTGCGCTTTTGAAAACCACCCGCCCTCAATCCGTGAAGCTCTTGTAAATGTTGAATGCGAATGTGCGCAGCGCTAAGGCGATACCCACATTTAGACAACCATCCGCCCTCAATCCATGACACGCTTTACATGTCTAAAACGAATGCGCGCGGAACTAGGGCGAGAAACACCTTTTGAACACGACCTGCCCTCAACCCGTGAAGCCTTTGCAAATACTTGAAACGAATGTGCGCGACGCTTAGGGCGAGAGTCACATATTGAAAACCACCCGCCTTGAATCCGCTAAAATAGGGCAATCTCTGTAAAACGAATGTGCGCGGCGCTAAGCCAGGAGCCACATTTTGGAAGCGACCCGCCCTCTATCTGTGAAATTGTTGCCCGTTATCAAACTTCAGTCTCGTAAAAGGTAGTCTCAGGCGAAAGCGGAGTTATTCTTAAGGAGAGGGGATAAGAGAGGAGGGAAGAGAGGAGGAACCGTACGTGAGTGGAGGGAGGGAGGAGGATGACGAGACAGTGGGATGAGGAGGAGAGACGCAGGTGGGGGAGAGGGGACGTCGGCGACGCGTTCGAGGATGAGGACGAGGTCCCCTCCGCAGGTCCCTCCATGAACGTGAACTCGGCCTGCTCCTCGGCGCTCGTCGCCTGCGTCCAGGCGGCGCGCCCCCCTCGTTCGCTTCGCGCTCGCGGCCCCGCGCCTCGCGCGCGCGCGCGATCTCCGCAGCGGGGTTCCGGCTTCCCTCTGCGGCCGGGGAGCCGTCCCACCTGCCTCCTCTCTGCCACCAGGGCGTCCAGGCTGGTTCGAGGGTCGAGGCCTTTGACTACTACGACTACGACTACTATTAGTCGTATGGAACATGCTAGTAGTAGTGATAGATAGATAGATCGATAGATAGATATATATATATAGTTAGATATGTAGATATATAGTTAGATAGAAAGATATATATATATAGAGATATATAGACATATATATAGATAGATAAATATATAAGTAGTAGTCGTCGTAGTAGTAGTAGTAGTAGTAGTAGTAGTAGTAGTAGTCGTAGTAGTAGTAGTAGTAGTAGTAGTCGTCGTCGTCGTAGTAGTAGTAGTAGTAGTAGTAGTAGTCGTAGGTAGTAGGAGGCGTGATAATAGTAGTAGTAGCAGTAGTAGTAGTAGTAGTAGTAGTAGTAGTAGTAGTAGTAGTAGTAGTAGTCGTAGTAGTAGTAGTAGTAGTAGTAGTAGTAGTAGTAGTAGTAGTAGTAATGTTATTTTTATTATTATTATTATTCTAGTAGTAGTAGTAGTAGTAGTAGTAGTAGTAGTAGTAGTAGTAGTAGTAGTAGTAGTAGTAGTAGTAGTAGTAGTAGTAGTAGTAGTAGTAGTAGTAGTAGTAGTTAGTAGTAGTAGTAGTAGTAGTAGTAGTAGTAGTAGTCGTAGTAGTAGTCGTAGTCGTAGTCGTAGTAGTAGTAGTAGTAGTAGTAGTAGTAGTAGTAGTAGTAGTAGTAGTAGTAGTAGTGGTGGTAGTAGTAGTAGTAGTAGTAGTAATGGGTGTGGAAATAGTAGGCAGTAGTAGACGTAGAATTTGTAATACTGTGCCGATCCGAAAGTTTCCCCAATTTCGCCACTGTGCCGGCCGCGGCCATCTGGGGTGGCGCGCGCAGGACAAGACTCGCGGGGCCCGAGGGCGGATGGGGACGATGTCGCGAGGGCAGAGTCGGCGCGCCGATGGGCAGCCCAGCGCCCCGTTTGGCCGGAGGGGCCCAGCACAATGCCAGGGCAGAGCCTAACCCCCGCCCAGGGTCGCGGGATTGGGTTCACCTTCCCAGCTTAAAATTTTAAATCTCAAACGGTGTACTGACCGGAAAATGAGCAAACGGCATGGGACTTCCTCGAAAGAAGCTTTCGGGTTCGGTCATACGCCGGCCCGAGAAGTTTATCGGCCGACCTGAAAGTGGCCAAATCTCATAGGACTTGTGCCAAAAGAATTGGGCCCGGTTCGAACGACCCGAAAATGTGCAAACCGCCTCGGGCTCCTTGCAAAAACATCGTTCTCGAGGTCTTCGGGCCCACTCCGAAGAAACTGAGCATGGGCAAACCGCCTAGAACTTCCTATCAAAAACGGTTTCTTGGTGGTTCCGGGTCTCGTCGGAAGGAGCCGCCGATGGGCAGACCGCTCAGGACTTCCTGCAAAAGAAACGGTTTCCTGGGTGAGCCATTGTCAACGTGAACGCGCCCCGCGCGGGATCGGGGTTCGCGCGGGGGCGCGGCTGCTCTCGCCTGTCCAGGGGGCATGCATTGTCGCGCCCTTCCAGCATAGCGTTTGCGCTGCATTCACGCGGCGCCGTGCCTTTCAAATCGGAATAAACTTTCGGAGCGCCGATGTAGTCCTTTTGGCCTCTGTCGCTCTTTTTGGGCGCCTCTGCGAGGCGTCGCGTCGCCGCGGTTGGAATCCATTCCAAAAAATCTGGCCAGGGCGAGCCCCAGGAGAGGGCTGGGGGTCACTGGCGTCTCGCTCAATCTTCGACGACGTTCTGATGGTCTCGCCCGCGCTTCCCCTTCGCGCTCCTCTCCCTTCCCAAGTGAAGCATAGAACCCTGCGGTGAAGGCATCGTTTTCTGACAACTGTGACGCGCGTGATGCCGTTCACGCAGTGGTGGGGTGTTTCACCCGGGCCACGTGGAGCAATCAGGAGGCGGCGTTTTGTGAGTCGTGCTGCCTGTGGGTGATGGATGAACGACCCCAGCCCGCGTCATTCAAGTTGCGCACGGCGGGCCGCAGTCGCAGCTTCCTTGGTTGGCCAATGCACGCCGACGCCAACGCCCTTCCCTCGTTCTCGCCCTCCTGGGCCTCCTGGGGGGATGCTCCTCGTCGCCACGGCTGGGCTCGCGTCGGGAGTTGTGGCCTGAGCGCGGCCAGTGGGGGAGTCCGTGGAGCAGCTGATGTCGTGACCTCGGGGCGGGCGAGCAGGGGCTGACGCCGTGCACGACCTGCGCCGGGGGTGCGTTGAAGCAGTGGAAGGGGCGAGCAGGGAGGGGGTGGGGAGGAAGGGCGCGTTGGGCGGAGAGGGGGCCCTCCCCCCTCCAGTGCCCTTTTCCCGCTTCCCCCTCATCCTCGCCCCCCTCTCCATCCGCTTCCTTGGCAACAACTTCGCTGATGTACGGGCTAAAATGGCCCTTCTTCTTCACCCTTCTGATGACGGCTTGCTTCAGGATGCTGATCGTCAGGTTATGTTTGCGAAGGCGACTCTTAACGTTGCCAGCGCGGTACTTCGGTTGATTTGTCTTCTATCGAACGGGTCCAGCAACCTCATGCCTTAGCCAGTGACGCCGCGGGCCATCGTCGGGCTGGCTGGTCTGGTATTTGGAGGTGCTCGGTTTGTCTCAAAGGTTGTCGGGCCCCGGTCCCCCCCTCCAAAGGTCGGTGCCCTCTGGACAGCAAGCCTCACGCTGCCCACCAGGACCGCCTAGGCCACACGACCTTGGCTTTCGAGTGTTCCGACCAGTCGTTCCTTTCTATTTGCTTGCGGTGCAAGAGCTACCCGTCTGGTGGTAAAGTCAGGGGTTTGGCGGAGCGCTGTGTTCCCCCAACTCGCGCTGGCAAAGTGGCTTGGGTACAGCTTAGTAAAGGCAAGCACCCTCACTACACTCGTCGTAAGCTCGGTGTCTCTGTTGATGTTGATGCGTTTGTTGAATGTTTCAACAGGCCAGGCTTTGATGAACAGGTGGATTTACAGCCCGCCAGATCTCCTCTCTCTTCCTCCTCTGGTGTGGAGCGGGGGGTGGAGTCTGGGCGGGACGGTGCGGGAAATTGGGATACTCTTTTCGGTGCTGAAGAGGAAGCTTCGAGCTTCCTCTTCGAGCGATCAGCTAGCGCGTCTGGCATTGCTCGTACTGTGCCTGGGGATGAGGCCCCTCAGCAGGCGATGAGGCATGGACCCCATCAAGTGCTGCGACGGGACAAGCCTTCTTTCCTGGCGAGGCGCCGACAGGATCAGTCGGACAGTTCGGATTAATGCCTCTTTGGCGCATGGACGCCCTTTTTTCTTCTATCTTGCACGGCCCGATGCGTCTGACCCTTTTGGCAGGCATCCGTGCTATACCCCACATGTGGGGCGAGGTTGGCAGTCGTCCTGGCGCTGGTTGCACCAGGGACTGCTGGCCTCGTCGTCCTTGTGTGGGTGGTCGAGCTATTCTTCTGGCGTGGGTACGCCTTTCTTTTCGTTTTCTGACTGCACGGCCCGATGCGTCTGTCCCTTTCGGCAGTCATCCGTGTTTTTTACCCCACATCTGGGGCGAGGCCGACGGTCGTCCTGGCGCTGGCTGCACCAGGGGCTGCGGGCTCGCCGTCTTTGTGTGGGTGGTCGTTTTGTCCTTAGGTTTTATTTTGTGCGCTGTCTCGTGGTGCGTGTGTCCGTTTGCACGCGTGTCAGGTACCCCGTTTCAGGGGGAAGGTACATGCACATCTAGGGTGCGCCGCTTCCTCTCTCCGAGCACGGGGGTGGCCCCATCCCGACTGTGGCTCGGGTTTAGATGTTGCCGCGGCCAGGAGCCTGGGGCTCTTGGCCCCAACATCTCTCTTCGTTTGCGTTGGCGGGCGTCTCGTGCGTATGTGCGTTCGCTGGCCCCGCTTTCTCGGCTCTCCGCCGCTGGGGGCTGTCTCGGCTCTCCTGGCGGGGCGCTGTCTTGACCGTTGTTCCTCTTGCACAGCCGAGGGCAGTCGGTCCGAGATGTGTGTTCCCTTTGCAGGACATCTGTTTTGGTTTTGTCTTTGCGCTTGCAGCTCGGCGTCCGTTTTGTTGCCCTGTGTGCCTGCCCCTCTCTTAGGGATGTTGCGGCAGGTGCACATTGTGCTGGCACGTCAGGACGCAGGGACCCCTTCGGTCTCTCGAGCTGGTTTTACTTGCGCTGATGACTCAGACTTGGTCTGTGTCAGGGAGCCAGCATCCCCCTCCGCTGCTGGCTCTGACCCTCGATTGTTTCGAGGATGTGGAGGTGTGACGTGGATGTCAAAACAAATCTCCATCCGCTTCCCCCTGCCCCCTGCCTCTTCCTTCGCCTCGTCGTCGTCGTCGTCATCGTCGTCCTCCTCCTCCTCCTCCTCTTCCTCCTCCTCCTCCTCCTCCTCCTCCTCCTCCCCAGAGGTTTCCGGAGGGCTACGGAGGTCTTTGGAGGTCCCCAGAAGACCCTGGATGCCACCAGAGGTTTCTGGAGGCTCCAAATTTTCGATCATCCTCCCCTTCCCACCCTTATCCTTCTCACTCCTCCTCTCCATGCACCCCGCAACATGTCAACGATGAGACATCGACGAAGAGGAGGGTCAGGAGTGGGCACACTCTTTGGGCAGAACACGCCTCTGGATGTGCCCGAGGAATGGACGACGATTCTGCTAATGCTGATGCCGATGCTGCTGCTGATGATCGGAGGTTGAGGAGGATGAGGAAGATCGATGACCGAGGATCGATAAGCTTGGACGTTTTTTAAGATTGTTTTGGGCCTTCAGGGGTGTCTGGAGGACGAGTTGTTGTTGGGATGTCTCGAGCGATAGTCCAATTTTGACAATGTACCGTCCTTCATCCCCTTGTAGTTGTCGGAGTAATTGAACCGATTTTCTGTGGCGATAATGCGAGAGCCACGTTTGGAAAATGGGCCGCCTTCCATCCTTGTAGCTCTTCGACTAAGATGACTGTGCGCGATGTCACTGCGAGAACCGCACTCTGAATACGACCTGCCTTCCATCCTCATCACGTTTCGCCTTCCATTCTCTCAGCAGTTGTACGGGCTTTAGACGAGCATGCGCGGCGCGAAGACGAGATCCATATTTTTGAGAACGACCTGCCCTCCATCCTTGTACTTCTCGGGGGTTGCAACTTCCAGGAGCATAAGCGGTCAGGAAGTCTCGGGAGAAACGCCCAGCCCGCCATACCAACACGTCTGGTGGTGCGCTGTAAGGAAGAGTGTTGGAGGAGGAGGGGGAGGAGGAGGAGGAGGAGGCGGAGGAGGAGGAAGATGAGGAGGAGGATGAGGAGGATGAGGAGGATGAGGAGGAGGAGGTGGCGGGTCCCTTGTGAGGATTCGTCAGGAAAAACACATAATCACGGTTCCGCCCGCAGGCTGCATCAGCAATCTACGCTGGCCAGTGCGATGCGGCTGTGGCGGGAGCTTCTTCCATCACGTTCCCGAACCTCGGCTACCTCTATCAGGACACCTCGGGGGCAGGCGGTGAAGGGTGAGGAGTTGTATCGCAGGGGCTCTTCGGGCCGTGTCTTGGGTATTTGGGGCAGTTGGGGTCTTTGGGGCTATTTTTGGCTGGGCTTGGGCTGTCTTGGGGCCGTCTTGGGGCCGTCTTGGGGTGGTCCCGGGCCGTCTGGGGGCCGCATTGGAGAGGTCGCGGGCCATCTTTGGGTCGTCACGGAGCCCTCCGGGAAGCCTCTCTGAGCAATGGGGGGCCGTCCAGGGTGACCTGGCGGCAGTCGTCGAGGCTTTTGGTAGTCATCACGGTCAATTCAGAACGGGAAGCGTACGAGAGAGTACAGTCAAGACGCTGAAATAAGGAACAGTTTGGATTCGGAAGGGGCTCGATGTTGCTTAGGTTCCTCCAGTGCTGTTCCTCTTGCCCTCCTGGGGCACGGAGGCGCTTACAGGGCCAAGAAGGTGCTTCGTTGCGGGGACCGCCACGTGCCTCCGGGGGCCTCCGACCTCTGGGGGCCTCCGGGGAGTTCGGAGGCCTCTGGCCCCCAAGGGGTTGGTAAATTAGAGTGCGGTCTCCAGCGGCGGGGGGAGACAGGAGGAATGAGGAATGAGGAGGAGGAGGAGGAGGAGGAGGAGGAGGAGGAGGAGGAGGAGAAGGAGGAGGAGGAGGAGGAGGAGGAGGAACAGGAACAGGGGGAGGAGGTGGAGAGGAGGGGGAGGACCAGCTCGGTGCGCCCGCGCCACATCTGACGTCCTATCCCTGCCATGCCTTACCATTGATCTGACTCCCTTTCCATTTGGTGCGTGACTGAGCAAACTGAAGATGCTTTGGTTTCAATTCACCACCCACCAAACCACCCCAACCCAACCCGAAGGCTCCGATTTACCTTCGATTTCCAGAGTGGGGGGGTCGGGAAACATCGAAAAAACACATGTGGAACCCATCCCCCCCAACGCGAAATTTGGGTCTTCGGGTTGGGTTGGGGTGCTCTGGTAGGTAGTCATCAATGGTGCCCTTCACGTCAAGTCGGAGTCGCGACACCCTGTCTGGACGAAGACAGTACGCAGGACCTGAGTCGGGGAGACGCATGCCACATGCTGATCCAGGACCGATATGGCCCACGCTGAGGCTAGATCACCCGTTGGGGGGAAGCATGGCGCCGGTTGAGGAATGCAGCCGCTGCCGCAGCGCGAGCGCCGTCTCGGAAGACCGACGACGCTCCAATCGAACACAGGTACATGGGCGCTGGCGAACATATCTGCCGATCTCAATCGTCTTCGGGATGCGCCGAGTTCGGTCAGATGTTTGGCCCCAGGAGGGGACCGAAATCCCTGGTGTTCACCGCTTTCGTCTCTCCGAGCTCCGCCGATGTCGAGGATTTATACCCATGCGCACAGATACAGGTTGCAGCGTGTTGAAATAGTATATGTAATCAATCGGCGGGGCGGGTCTAAACTGGGACCCTGTCAGGGGAGAGGAGTGCAGCACTCATCACGTGCACTGTTGAGGGATGAAGAGCGAGGAGGAGGAGAAGGAGCAGGAGGGCGAGCCGGTGGCTGGTGATGGGGCCCATTGGAGAGCTCCTTTCTTCTTCCTTGGCCAAGCCTCGGGGCCCACGCCAGGGGCCGCAGCGTCAGGGAACCCCTTTCTCCCCTTCTCCCTTGCCCTCTCTGCCCCCGCACCCTGCTGCCGTCTCCCCTGTCCGCCGCCCCTGCGCCCTCCCGCTTCCCCACGGGCCTCTGGCTGCGCGTTCGTCGTCCTCTGCCTGCTTCGCTCTCTCTCTCTCTCTCTCGCCTTCGTTTTTTTTTTTTTTTTTTTTTTTTTTTTCTCTCTCTCTCTCTCTCTATCGCTCTCGCTCTCTCTGTCTTTCTCGTTGGGCAGCGTAGCCTGCCTCGAGCTCCAGCAAGGGTGGCTTAGAGAGCAGCAGGACGGTGCCACCGCCTCTTCTCCCTTTCCTCCTCCCACCCGAGGCCTTGCTCCGTGGATGCGGCAGCCGACCGTGTCGCCCTCAAACAAAGCCAGTCCGAGTGCAAGTCGAGCTTGCAAAGCCCAGGGCTCCACTTGCTTTGATTCAAGTCCAGCAGCGCGCTCCCGCGCAATCATCGTACCCGCCCCTGGACGGGCCTCCTGAGCCACGAGCCCCCCCCCTCTCCCCACCCTGCCCCTCTCCCTGTCCCCCCGCCGCCAGAAACAAGGTTCCAGTCCATCCCGGCGCGCCCCGATTGTACGGCGCTTCTCGTCTGTCCTCACCCTCGCCCCCGCCTCTGGCCCCGCTGCCATTCCTTGGATCACGACCACTGCGGTGGTTGCTAAGTTGTAAGGTGGATGATTTTAGGCCAAACCCAGCTTATCAGCTGGCTAGAATTGCCCTGAGTGGCTTATGGGAAGTGGGCTCCGCCCACTTAGGGGAGTTAGCGAACCCATCCAAGCCACTCAGGGCACTCGAAACCCACTTATAAGCCATGTCGGGCCAGATATGGCCCACCTTGGCCTCCACTTGTAGCCCCCCAATCCTCCTAGCCATTGCCGCGGTGATTCAAGCACCAGTACACCTTCCCTCCTCCCGCTTCCCCTCCACCAGGGGCGTTGCCGCGGCCAGAGTGACCTCTGGCCTGCGGTTTCTCAGGGGTCGCGGGTGGGGCCACACTTGCCTCGAGACCTGGGTGTGGCTGTTTTTCAGGCCGGGCGTTTGCACCTGGCTTCAGGCACCAGGACCATCACAGATCGATCCAGCTCGAAACATGCAGCATAATGACCAGACATATCGTTTTAGACCCAGCACCATCACAAGCCGCCCCAGGAACATCCAGCTCGAAAGAGCGTGTTTCTTTATTGCTTGGCCCTTAACGCGCGTTATGGCCCCCCCGCCCCCCCCTCCACAACGTAACGCTCCAGTCCTCAGTGCGCCCCTGGCACCGCCGCCGTGCGCATCGGGATCCACATTGGAACACGAATAGGGATCCGCGTAGGCATCCGCACAGACATCCGCATAGGGATCCTCATGGGGATCGCATAGAGATGTCCATCGGGGTCCGCAGGGATCCGCATTGGGATTCCCAGGGATCCTTTCAGAGATCCGCATAGGGATCTGCACAGGGTCCAGAGGGATCCGCGTGGGGATCCGCATAGGGATCCCCAGAGGCAACCGCATAGGGATCCGCATGGGGATCCGCATGGGGATCCGCATAGGGATCCGCATCGCAGTTCACATAGGCATCTACATATGGATCCGCATATGGATCCGCGTAGGCATCCGCATAGGCATCCACATAGGGATGCGCATAGGGATCCCCAGAGGGTTCCTCATAGGGATCCATAGGGATCCACATCGAGATCCGCATAGGGGCGGTGATTGCGGGCAAGTTGCTGTGCTCTCAGGCACTTCTGGTGTTCGTAGGAGAGAGAGAGAGAGAGACAGAGAGAGAGAGAGAGAGCAATAGGAGGAGAAGGACGACGACGACAACGACTTCGACGACGACGATGGGGATGGAGGAGGGAGGTAAGGAGCATAGTGAGGTAAGGAGCATACCTCTTATACGCCACGTGGAGGCAACGACGCCTTCGCAGGCCTGTGCTCGCGACAAGTCCTCGTCTCTTTTCGTTGTTGGCCGTTGTCGTCGTCGTCGTCGTCGTCGTCGTCGTCGTCGTCGTCGCTCGTCGTCGTCGTCGTCGTCGTCGTCGTCGTCGTCGCTCGTCGTTGTCTGGCGTCGATGTCGTCGTCGTCGTCGTCGTCGTCGTCGTCGTCGTCGTCGTCGTCGGTCGTCATCGCTCGCAGTCGCTCGTCGTTGTGAAACGTTTTCGGATGCTTTCGAGGGCCTCTGGAGGCGTTCGGATGACCTCCGAAAGGCTTCCAGAGGCCTCAGGAGGCCTGCGGAGGACTTTGGAAACCTCTGGAGACCTTCGGAGGCGTCGCCGTCGTCGTCGTAGCTCATCGCTCGTCGTCGTCGTCGTCGTTGTCGTCGTCGTCGTCACTCTTCGTTGTCGGTCGTCGATGACGTCGTCGTCGTCGTCGTCGTCGTCGTCGTCGTCGTCGTCGTCCGTCGTCGTCGTTGTCGTCGTCGTCGTCGTCGTCGTCGTCGTCGTCGTGGTCGCTCGTCGTCGTCGTCGTGGTCGCTCGTCGTCGTCGTCGTCGCCGTCGCCATCGCCGTCGCCGTCGCCGTCGCCGTCGCCGTCACTGTCGCCGTCGCCGTCGCCGTCGCCGTCGCCGTCGCCGTCGCCGTCGCCGTCGCCGTCGCCGTCGTCGTCGTCGTCGTCGTCGTTGTCGTCGTCGTTATCGTCGTCACTCGTCGTCGTCGTCGTGCGCGCGGACGCTGTGGTGGCGTCAGAACCGCGCCCCGGGGGGGGGGCGTTCCGTTATGCCCCCCCCCCCCTCCGCCCCCCCCATAACGCCCGTTATCGCTGCGAATAAATAAACGCGCTCAAAAATGCGGCAGAAAGATGCAGTGCTTTTGGTTTGCGATGCTACTTTTTTCGTAGCGTCGGACCTCAGTGCAGGCGTGCAGGCAGCCTTCTCCTCCACAATAATATGTCCATGTCTACCGCTTCGGAGTCGTGCCCTGGGATCTCGAGGAGCGGTGGATGTGGACATCTTTCCGCCCGCGTGGGCGGGGCAGATATCCACATCCGCCGCTTCCCGAGTCCCCTGGACACGACCCCGCGGCAGTGGATGTGGACATTCTGGCGGCGCAGACTCTGCCGCATCGCGCGCAGAGGCTGGCGGGCCTCGAGAACCAGAGGGCCACCCCCGCCCAGGGGCCACTCCCCGCGTGCAGCCGGCCCGAGACCCCAGGATGGCCTCGTCGCATCCACCGACGGGTACGTGCGGCCGTTCGACGCCCGGGCGGAGGGCACGGTGTTCGGGGACGCGGTCGGGTCGGTCGTGCTGCGGAGGACTTTGCGGGACGAGGCGCACGGTCTCGAAACGCGCAAGAGCCAGGGCCGAGGAGGGGGAGGAGGAGGAGGAGGAGGAGGAGGAGGAGGAGGAGGAGGGAGGAGGAGGAGGAGGAGGAGGAGGAGGAGGAGGAGGAGGAGGAGGAGGCGGAAGAGGAGGGAGGAGGAGGACGAGGAGGAGGAGGAGGAGGAGGAGGAGGAGGAGGAGGAGGAGGAGGAGGAGAAGGAGGACAACGGTGACGATGACGACAACGACGATGACGACGATAAGTGCGAGGACGGCGAGGATGGCGACGACGACGGCGGCGCGGAGAAGATGACGACTTCGGAATTTTTCAAATGTCTCTCGTTGTTTCTGGAGGCCTTAGAGGTTCCCGGTGGCCTTCATAGGCTTCTGGAGCCCCATTTTGGCTCAAGGCCCCAGTCACGTAGGAACCACTCCCACTATTGAAATGCTTTTGTCGATGTGATGTGCTTTTTACCACAAGCGGTCGTTCCCAGCTGCGGGCAAGTCAAAAAGGGCCTAAGCCCTCCCTCCGTCCTAGCGTCGGGAGGGCTTCTAGCAGAAACGGCGTCGGGAAGTGAGGTAGGTGGATGTGGCAGCAGTGATCTTCAACACTGCTACCCTACTGATTTCCCCTCCTCAACCTTCCTGTACTTCTTCCGCCCACACGGTGGGCGGGCGCACGCAAAAGCACAGACCTCCACCGGAGGCAGAGGTGATCCGCAGATGGGATCATGGCGGGATCTTTGTCCCGAAGGGTCCCCCACCGAAAAGATGCCTACCCCCACTGGAGGCGGTAACGAACCGCAGATGGGCTCTTCGTGGGATCTTCGTCCCGAAAGTCCTCGACGGGAGGACGACGTAGGCTGGGACTCAGCCGCCTGCGGGATTTTCGTCCCGTACTGTCCTCCGCCGGAGGAAGGAGATATTCTGCGGGGACTCCGCCCCGAAACGCCCTCCACTGGAGGATGGTGTTGATAGGGAGCAGCACGTGCGACGTCGAGCGTTCCGCTCACGTCCGATCGGGGGGACGCCATCCCCTTTCTCATGCTGCCGGACAGCCGCCACTGGCGGCACCGCTCACCCAGGGCTACTTCAGCGCCCGTCCTTCGGGGTGCCGTATAGTCGCTTATAGTCGCTTTCTGGGCGCTGTATAGTGCTGTAGAGTCGCTTTCTGGGTGCTTCGGCCCCGCCCTGCAGCGCCCCCGCGGCGTTCCAAGCAGGTCGCAGTTCGCAGTTCGCAGTTCCTTCGGGGTGCCGTCGGCAAGGAAACGAGGGCACTGCTTGCCCCAGTGGCCCTCCTGGCAGCACCAGCGGCGCACACGGGGCCCCGGCAGCTCCGAGGGGATGCCCCCCGGGGCGAGCTGGCCCGCTGCGGGCGCAGAGGCGCCGCCCCTGCGCGTCTTCCTGCGTCTCTCGCGGACTGGGCCCCTCCGCCTGCCCTTACCGTCAGGGCCCTGAAGAAGGAATCCTTTTCGTTCGGGAGGGGCTCCGTGTTCCTTAGTTGTTTTGCAGTGATCCTCGGGTTTTCCTGAGGTTTTCCATGGGCAAGCGAAGTTCAACTTCTGGGAGAAAGGGGCCCGGGTTCCTTAGGTCAACGCCCCGACTGTACCCTTGGGCTCCTTGCCCTGGGCGCCCCGCTCGCTTCCCCTGCCGTGGCCCGCGGCGGAGTGGCTCGCTCCCGAGCTCCCCCTGCCTGCCGCGGCCGCGCCGGAGGCCAGCCCATGGCGGACTGGTGCCTCGTACTCACCATCCACCAAACCAGCCCAACCCAACCCGAAGGCTCAGATTTACCCTCGATTTCCAGTGGGGGGGGGTCGGGAAACATCGAAAAAAACATGTGGAACCCTTACCCCCCCCAACCCGAAATTCGGGTCCTCGGGTTGGGTTCGGGTGGTCTGGTAGGTAGTCACGTAGCGCACCAGGGCAGCTTCTTCTTCGTCCATGTCGGCGCTGCCGCGTTCCGACGAGGCCGACATCCTCTCCGCTGCTCGACCCAGCCTGGTGGCGATGCACGAGCGTCTCCGGTGCCTGCGCCTGCGCCCTCTCCTGGCGGGCAGGCGCCTGCCTCGGCTGAACGTTCCGCACGGAGTCAGAGCGGTAGGCGGCCTGGCGGCCGAGGGCGAGCATCCAGCAGGCCGTTGCCGCCGGAAGCTCTGTCTGCAGGGCGGCCACGAGGTTCCACCTCGTGAGCTTCTTGCCATCACGAACCTCGTCGTTCCACCGCTCGGTCAGGTCCTCCCAAAGCGTACGGCGACGGGCGGACCAGTTGGCCTGGATACGCCACGCGGAAGAAGCTCCCGAGCCAGAGCAGCCAGCAGCTGACGCTTAGCTCCTGGACCGCCTTGCGGTGGAAGGTGAGCCACTGATCGTCCACTTCCAGGGCTTGCTCTTCGTCCGCCACGCGTTCCCCCGGCGCGCCGTCGCCGCCGCGCTCCCGGTGCACCCAGCACGCGGGTCCCGACCCCGGGCCGAACTGGAGCTCCCGCCCCGTGCTCCTGCCCTCCCTGCGCTCCTTATACTTACCAGCCTCGAACTTATCCCTATCCCTAAGAGTGACACGCCAAAAGGCGATGACAATCTTAGGGATCCGCCCTTCAAAAATATGGAAATCCCTAAGATTGGCATCGTGATGAGGAGGTGCCCAGCATAGAGATAGGGATATGTTCCAGGCTGGTAATATACGCTCCTTGCGCCCTTCTGGGGCTGAGACCCCGCCCCGTGGCGCCTGCTTGGCCTTAGTTGGCAGGACCGGGCGGCCGACGTCCGATTCTTCCTGGACCGCGCCATCCGGCTGCGGCCCCCGCCGCTCTTCTTCGCCACCCGACGGGGACGCCGCCCTCACGCCGTCGCGGCCGGCCATGGCGCGGAAGCAGGCAGCGGATGGCACGCGTGCGCAGGCGCTTGCTTGGGCCTCAGCAGCTGCGCGATGCGGCGCACGCGCGTTCGACTCGTTTCCAGAAACTCCCGTACTCCAGATCTCGTAATAAAAGGGAGGGGGTCTCAACCCTCCCAGACGAGAAGTTTTAGACCTCCCCCCGTGGGAGAACCCTCCAAAACATCGTCCCCAGACCCCCCCAGGCCCTCCAAGATAGCCTGGAAGAGACCCCCCCCGAAATGAGACCCCCCTCCCTTTATTACGAAATCTGGAGTACCTTGTCGCTCAGACCACCTTTGGTTCACCCGTCTGAGATCATCCACCGGCTGGGTAGCCACCTCACCCCCCCTTTGCTTCCATCTCTCTGCGGGCCGCATGACACGTGGGATGTCAGAGCGGCGAGCCACACAGCATCGTGCCGATCGTCGGGGACGTTGCCTTCGATCTTTCATGAGCGTACAGGCTCCGACAGTCGGTGAACAGCGTGCGCGGCATCTGTGCCTCGCCGTACTCCACCACCAGCGTGTCGCTCCATCCGTGCAGGGCCTCACACAGGAGATCCCGCGTGTAGTAGGCCATACCATGAGTAGCCACACGGTGGCTCGCCCGGCTGCGCCAGTCCAGGATGGACGTCGGCAGCTCTTCCTGCTCCATGCAGTCCGGGTCGGCCACTGCTACTACCACTCTGGTCTGCGACCGGACCCTGTGACGAGCGGACCTTTTAAGGACCTCGTCTGTCTCCAGGAGTTCGCTGACGTTACCATAGAGCGAAGAGTCATGCCAGCAGCCTGCCCCCATACGGCCCTTGAGCGGCAAAATTCTCAGACAGACGTCGCGACTGGCTTTGACGTGCCTGATATAATTATTCAGCTCCCGCGCGTCCTCATGGGTCGGCTCCTTCTGTAGCTTCCGGACTCGGTTCGTCTCGAAGGCTTTGTCCAGCCGGCACTGTCCAGCCAGCCAGTGTAGGGAGCCCACCGCCGACTGAAACTCTGCTCTACCGATCGGGGTAAGCGGCGTCTCCCCTTCTCCGTCCGCCCGCAGTTGACCTCATCCAGGCGTCCGTCAATAAACTCCGGCATGCTGACTTCAACGCAAGCCCCGTTCATTTAGACCCTGCGACCGGTGTGGCGCAGCGCCGCATGCTCAGATTGATTCTTGGTTCTCCCCGACGCCGGGCCCAAGGCGCTCGCGTAGACGTAAGGGCAGAACGCAGGTTCGACGACGCAGCCGCTGTCTCGATCAGTGCTCTCAGCAGCAATGAAGCAACCACCGCGAGCACCTTTTCTGGCCGCAGCGACGCCGACACGGACGACGCAGACACCACCGCGTCATCGAGCTCGATTTTTCTTGTAAACGATCTGGAACCATGGCACGCATGGATCCTACGCACGACCAGACACATTGAAAGATATTGCGCCGAAGTTGGGTACAAAGCCTCGTGTGCACGGCAGAAACGGTTACAGTGGAGGTCTCTTGCTATGGCGATGCATGGCAGCACGGAAAAGTGGAGCCGCAAGGCTATCATGTGGAACCCAGCATTTACATGTGAATGCAAAGCGACGGCAGCACCGACCGTGCAAATGGTGGACTGATGATTTGGCTGCATTTTACGTGATACTTGCGCACAAGAGTGGTGATCAAGTGTGATGGACATTCAATAATGGCAGGGTATGGGGGATTCGTACGTGCTCCGCACAGGACGACGTATAGAATCTGATCCTGGCGCCCCGGCGCTACTGCCTGGCCCCGCGGCGTAGGGCCATCCCCCCTGGACGCTGCAGGCGCAGCCTCAGAGGCCCAAACATAGCAAAAAAGGTTCGACTCGACCCTCGAGCCTCGACGTTCGATCCTCTCAAACATGGTTTCAAGGCCCCTCGGGGTCCATCCTTGCAAGTTTTCCGAGCCGCGTCCTGGCGACGAGGATCTTTAGAGACACGCCAAAACCTCTGACCTCTGAAATGACGTCGTCGTCGTCGACGTCGTCGCCGTCGTCATCGTCGGCGGGCGTCGCCGGGCGTGGCCGTCAACGTCATCGTCGTCGTCGTGGTCGTCATCGTCGTCGTCGTGGTGGTTGTCGTCGTCGTCGTCGTGGTCGTCGTCGTCGTCGTGGTGGTCGTCGTCGTCGGCGTCGTTGTCGGCGTCGTGGTCGTGGTCGTGGGCGTCGTCGTCGTTGTCGCCTTCTTTGCCGGCGCCGTCGTCGTCGTCGTCGTCGTTGCCGCTGTCGCCTTCGCTATTGTCGTCGACCTTGTCGTCGACGCCCTCGTCGGTCTCGTCGTCGCCGAATTCTCGAGGACGGACGACGTCAGCGGCGGGCTGGCTTGGGGCGCCCTGCGCGGCTTCTCGGTGACCAACGACGGCGGACAGAAGGCGGGCCGCTCCCCGCCGCCGCCCTCGTCGCCGGCTGGCCGCCGTCCCGCTGGGGTCGTCGCCGTCGTCGTCGTCATCTTCGTCCGTCGTCCGTCGTTCGTCGTTGTCGATGTCCTCGTCGACGTCGGAGTCCACGTCGACGTCGTCGTCGTCGTCGTCATTGTCGACGTCCTTGTCGACGTCTTCGTCGGCGGCGTCCGTCTTTGTCGTCGTCGTCGACATGGTTGTTGTTGTTCGTCGTCGTGGGTGAGAAGAAATCGGAGGATTCACAGCTGCGCTGTAGGCCTCTTCAGGGTACCTTAACCAATCCTCAGGGACACGGCGGCCGTCCAGTGGAGACTGACAGTGTGCCGACACCGTCATAATCCAGTAGTTGACCGGCAGCAGGCCAAATCCGGAAAGTCAAGGGCAGAAGCTTTGCTGCCTTTAGCTGAGATGGAGGGCGTCCGAGGTGGAGGGAATTGTCGTTAGCTCCCTGTGGAATTTTTCCATGGGGAGGCAAACCATTCATATACCAATTGTGCATGCCAGTGGCCGTGCTACCTCATGGGGATACCCATCGATCCCACAAACAGGTTTCGGCCATATTCGAGTTGGGGGTCCAAATTCTGTGTGGGGATCACCCTTGCTCCAATCGCGCAATCCCTTTCGACCTTACCCCCATCGTGGGCGTAGATTTGCTTAGAGTTCTGCGCGTTCAAATGCGAGGCGGTGAGCGTGACTGAAGGAGGCGCCCCGTCTAGTGATTTGAGCCCCCGTTGGGAAATCGGGAGTTGGGCATGGCCGATAGGGGAACAGGTAGGGGAACAACTCGGAGGTCCGCCCGGATTTCTCGGATCGGCGCTGGGGCCCCCCGGCGGCGCCTCCGGCGCCGCCCCTGGCGCGTTCCGCGCGCCAGGGAGGGGGGTCCAGCGCCGATCCGAGAAATCCGCGCGGACCTCTGAGTTTTTATGTTCATGCCACCTGTTGTTCCCCCAGCAGGGGCGGACGAGTCTTTCTCGACGTCTCGAGCTGCGTCCGCGCGCGGCCTGCTGCCGCCCACCCCGTCCAAATCTCCTCGTCCTCCTCCTCCTCCTGCTCCTGCTCCTGCTCCTGCTCCTCCTCCTTCTCCTCCTCCTCCTCCTCCTCCTCCTGCTCCTCCCTCCTAGCGAGCAGGGCCTTCGCGTCCCTCCAGCGCTTCTGGCACCTGGAGCCCTCGGGCGGGGCCCGTCGCAGGCCTGCCGGGCGCGCGCAGCTCGGCACGGCTCTGCTTGTACAGCGGGGGCGCGCATCAGGAAACCATCTGCTCCACATTTCGTAGTAAAGGGAGGGGGGGTCTCATTTCGGGGGGGGTCTCTTCCAGGCTATCTTGGAGGGCCTGGGGGGTCTGGGGACGATGTTTTGGAGGGTTCTCCCACGGGGGAGGTCTGAAATGGCTTGTCTGGGAGGGTCCAGACCCACTCCCTGTTGTTACGAAATCTGGAGTATGCTTTTCGTCAGGGTATCCTGGGTTTCTTCGCTCCTCGCGCTGCGCGGCGACTTCCCGCAGCCGCTGAAGTAGCCTGCTGCGTTCAGGGTGCTCCGGGTTTCCCCTCAGGTCTACCTCGCGCGCGGGTTCTCAGGGTTGGGTTTCTTGCGAGGGTTTCTTGCGGCCGCGCCCGCGCCCTACGTGCCCGCTGGTGCAACACTGAGCCAGTCGCTAGCTTGGCCCCGACACGTTCGCGGGCGCAGTAGACCCACTTACAGTCGGACCGAGGTATAAGATCGAGGTCGGTTCGGGGAGGGTACCCTATATGTTCTTCGTGCTTGTTGGGTTTTCTTGTGCATCCTGGGGGTGGGTACCCTCGAATGCTCTTCATGTTGGCCGGTGGAGGGTCTCATGTTCTTGAAGGGTGTTCTTCTGTCCTAGGCCCGACTGCACGTATGGGGAACGCAGGCCCGCGGATACAGCACAAGCCGGCATTCGAGTTGCACCCGCGCGCAATTTTCGCGAGTTCCCACGTCGCTCTGCGCGCGCACGGGGCGGTGAACCTCGTTGGGGTGGCGGGGGGGCCGGGACCCTCGGGCCAAGGGAAGTAGCTCGAACCATCCCCTTGGTCCCGCCAAGGGTTTTGCCTCGCTGGGTGAGGTGCAGCCGTCGTTCCGCGCCGCTCCTGCCAGTCCGACCCGTGCCGCTCCTGCCAGTGTTGAGCACCCATCCATGCGAGGCGGCGTGGGCGGGGAAGGGCAGGTGCGGGGAGAGATTGCGCGCGGAGGCGTGGGGGTTGACAAGGTGGACCGTTAGGGTGTCAGGGCAGGAGCATGGCTTTCACAGACGTCCTCCTGTCCCCATGCGAGGACGGCGCCGCCGTCGTCGTGGTGGTCGTCGTCGTCGTCATTGTTTTCGTGGTTGCCGTCTTCGTCGTCGTCGTCGTCGTCGGCGGCGGCGGCGGCGGTGGCGGCGGCGGCGACGGCGACGTCGTCCTTGCGTTTGCCACTGGGGGGCCCTGGAGGCCTAGCTCCGGAGGCTTCAAGAGCCTTCCGACGGCCTTTGGGGGCCTCCTTGAAGGCATCCATGGACATGCGTGGGAACTCCCCGAGACCTCTGGAGATCGTCGCCTCCGCCGCCGCCGCCGTCGTCGTTGTCGCCGTCGCCGTCGCCGTCGTCTTTTTCGTCGTTGTTTTCGTCGTCGTTTTCGTCGTCGTCGTCGTTGTCGTCGTCGTCGTCGTCGTCGTGGTCGTGGTCGTGGTCGTGGTCGTTGTCGTCGTGGTGTTGCGCTACTCGCAGCAGCGGAGGCGGGCTACGCCGCGCCATCGCCCGCGGGCCAGAGGGAGGCCATCGTCAATGCGCTGGAGGCGCCGCGCCCCCCCGTCATCGTCGTCGCCGCCGCCGTCGTCGTTGCGCCGTCGTCGTCGTCGTCGTCCGTCGTCGTCGCGGGCGTCTTCCTGGAGGATGTGGAGATGCAGGTGAGGGAGGAGGAGGAGGAGGAGGAGGAGGAGGAGGAGGAGGAGGAGGAGGAGGAGGAGGAGGAGGAGGAGGAACAACAGGAGGAGGTCGATGAGGCAACGGAGAGGACGTGGGGAAGGAGGACGAGGAGGAGGAGGAGGAGGAGACGAAGGCGGGAGGAGGAGGAGGCGGAGGAGGAGGAGAAGGAGGCTGAGGAGGAGGAACAAGTGGAGGAGGAGCAGCAGGAGGAGGAGGAGAAGGAGGAAGAGCTGGTCTTCGGCATTCCACGGAAGGAGCAATCGTTGATTCTAAGCATCTTAATCCGCTGGCAGTGGATCGCTTCATGTCCTAAGTGGGGCAGAGCGCTCCAGCCCGCGGAGTTCACCATGGGACTGGCTCAAGATAACCCACCCCCTCCCGTCCACCGCGCCGCTGGGACCTTCGTGCTTCAGAGCATGCAGGTGAAATGCAAGTTCCTTGTTGTGTCCGATGCTAGCGGGGGCCCACATAACAGACATTCTCGGAACAAGGCGCACGTCGGCGTAGAGTTGTGTAGTGTAGTGTTGTAGAGTAGCGTTAGTGTAGTGACTTAGTGTAGTGTATTCGTGCTGTGTGTCAGCGTAGTGTAATTGTGCAGTGGATTAGTGTCGTGTGTTAGTGTAGTGGATTCGTTTACTGGACTCGTGTAATTTATTATTGTAGTGACTTGGCGTAGTACGTCGGTGTAGGTAGTGTACTCGCGTCGTGTAGTAGTGTAGTTTTGTAGAATGTCGTATTCGTGTAGTGCCTTAGTGTAGTGCATTAGTGTAGTGTATTAGTATAGTGGATTCGCGCAGTGTATTAGTGTCGTGTATTCGTGTAGTGATGGCGTAGTGTACTAGTACAGTGCAGTAGTGTAGTGTTGTAGAGTAGCGTATCCGTGTAGTGTGTTAGTGTATTGCTTTTGGTGTAGTGGATTAGTGTAGTGTATTGGTGTCGTGTATTAGTATAGTGTGCTAGTGTAGTGCATTATGGTAAAGTATGAGTGGTTAAAGCGAACCCTCAAAACCTGGTGCTGAGCACAGCCTGCTCGCACCGACCAAACCCCACGTGGCTCCGAATTTCTCAAGCTGGTGGGGTGAATGGATTCTGGAGGGCGCGCTCCTCCTAACTTTAATGCTTAACAGTTGGCGAGCGAGCACCCTTGGGGTCGAGAGAGGCAGCAGCCGCGAGGGCTCCACGAGCACGCTTGCGCAATCATATGCCCAACAGCATCGATCCGACTCGTGTAAGGCAGTCTCGCCACCAATCCAAACTCCCAAGCCAACTTCGCCCCCCTCGCCGCTCAAGCATCCGCAGCTGGGCTCCCTGCGGCGAGCTTGATTTGCCGCGGGGTGTCCAGCTTTTCGGGGCGCTCATCTAGATAAGAGGCGGTCCATTCTACTTCGTCCTGATGGTTGGTTTTGCCGTGCTACGCGGACCCGGCTCGGGCCCGTTGGTCCTCATTGAGGCCCAGAGTTTTGGGGGAAGCCAGGCGTTCCTTCCGGATCCGCGACCGCAAGTTGGTGCGTTACAAAGGCGCACGCGACATCGCATTCTTGCCAGCGCAAACGATTCAATTTCGGATCTGGCGACGGCCTGGCGGTGGCCCATCAGGGGTTTTGCGAGGCCCGCCTCGAGGCGCCACTCTTCTTCGTATTGGGACATCGCCACAATCTTGGCACCACACTGGCGCCTGTATGGGACCTGAGAATTATTCGCTTCCGGATGCGCCCCTTGAAGTCAGCAGGGTGCCGTCGCGCCCGCATATTCGATTTCCTAGGATCCCCCCGTACCGAACCTCCCGACCCTCCAACGCCTCCTCCTCAAAACCAGAGGGCGTGAGGCGCACAGGGGTCACACCGCGGAGCCAGAGTGAGGGCTCCGACTCGGCCTGCGTTCGCCCACGGCGTAGCCGTGGGCGCATATCATCCTGCCGAGCCCTGTTGCGTGGCCGTGCTTTGATGATTCTACAGTGACTGTCGGGGAAGTGCTGCCAGAGGCAGATCTACTCCTTTATGACGCCGAGCCTGACGTTACCAGCAGGGTCTCGGCGTCCGAGCTCGAGTGCCACCGTCGTCGTCAAGCACCTGCCCCGCGCTGTACCTTCCGCAATCGGCCCCGCTTGCCGTCGTAAAAGCTGAAGCTCATGAGACGCCATGCGGCCTGGTGGCCGTACACGGTCTGCGGCACACCTCCGAGGTTCCATAATCCGTTGGCATCTCTATCTTCGAAAGAGCGTGTTCTACCGCTGCTGGCGGAAAACCGGGGGGGGGGTCACTGGTGGTTCCGAACCCTTCGCCCCCCCCCCCCCTCGAAAACCAGGGGGGGGTCACTACCGGTTCGAACCCCACCCCCCCCCTCGAAAACCGGAGGGGGTCACTACCGGTTCGAACCCCCCCCCTCTCGAAAACCGGGGGGGGGTCACTGCTGGTTCGAACCCCGGCCCCCCTCCCCCCTTCGCCGCCGGGACAGTTGGAGAATGCTGGGGATGTTGGGACAGTGGTGGGAACGGTGGTGGTGGGGACAGTGGTGCGGGGACAGTGGGACAGTGGTGCGGACAGTGGTGGGGACGGTGGTGGTGGAGACAGTGGTGAGGGGACAGCGGGACAGTGGTGGGGACAGTGGGACAGTGGTGGGGACGGTAGTGGTGGGGACAGTGGTGAAGGCGGTGGTGAGGACAGTGGTGGGACAGTAGTACATTGGGGAAAGTGGTGGGGACAGTGGGGACAGTGGGGACAGTGGGACAGTGATGGGGACAGTGGGGACGGTGGGACAGCACAATGGGACAGCGGCGGGGACAGTGGGACAGTGGTGGGAACAGTGGGGACAGTGGGGCAGTGGTGGGGACCGTGGGGAAAGTGGGGAGAGTGGGATTGTGGTGGGACAGTGGCGGGGAGAGTGGGGACAGTGAGACATCTGTGGGGGCACTGGTGGGGACAGCGGGGACAATGGTGGGAACAGTGGGGACAGTGGGACAGTGGTGGGGGCGGTGGTTGTGGTGGGGACAGTGGTGTGGGGACAGTGGGAATATGGCGGAAACAGTGGGACAGTGGAGGGTACAGTGGTGGTGGCGACAGTGGTGAGGGCGGTGGCGAGGACGGCGGTGGGATAATGGGACGGAGGTACAGTAGGGACAGTGGTGGGGACGGTGGGGACAGTGGTGGGAACAGTGGGACAGCTCAGTGGGACAGCGGCGGGGACAGTGGGACGGTGGGACAGTGAGGACAGTGGGACAGAGGCTGGGGCCGTGGAGAAAGTGGGGAGTGGAACCGTGGTGGGAACAGTGGTGGGGACAGTGGGGACAGTGCGACTGGTGGCGGCACTGGTGAGGACAGTGGTGACGGTGGTAGAAACAGTGGGGACAGTGGAGGTGAGGACAGTGGTGCTGGGGACGGCAGTGTGGGATGTGGTGGTGCGGTGGTAGGGACCCAGTGTTTTTTGCTGGCTGTGAGCGGGGGGGGGGTGAGGGGTTCGATCCGGTAGTGACCCCCCCTCGGTTTTCCAGGGGGGGGGTTCGAACCCGTAGTGACCCCCCCCCGGTTTTCGAGGGGGTGGGGGGGTTCGAAACGGTAGTGACCCCCCCGGTTTTCGAGGGGGGGGTTCGAACCGGTAGTGACCCCTCCCGGTTTTCCGGAAGGGGCGGGGTTCGAACCGGTAGTGACCCCTCTCTGGTTTTCTGGGGGGGGAGGGGTTCGAATTGGTAGTGACCCCCCTCGTCTTTCCGGAGGGGGGAAGGGGGGGGGGGCTATAGTGACTCTCCACGGTTTTCCGGAGGGGTGGGGGGTTCGAACCAGTAGTGACCCCCCCCGGTTTTCCAGAGGGGGGGGGGGGGCCGGGGGAGGGGTTTGCCGGGGGGAAGGGAGGGGGGTTCCAGCAGGGGGGGGGGAGATTTTCGGAGGGGGGGAGGGAACCCCCGGGTTCCGGAGGAAGAGGGGAGGGAATTTTCCACAGTAAAGCGGCGATGGACCACGTTCTCTCATCCTTAAAAGAGCGGTTGCACGACGGAGGCGAATAATTCGACCGAGCTTCGCACGAGGCCTCTTCCTGCGCTGCTTCGACTTGCTGGTGACTCGCTTCCTGCCGTGATCTGCCTTTTCGCAGCCGTGCGGGAGGTGCGGCAGCCACTGCCGCGCCTCGTGCGGGGCCCTCGCCACGCCGCGGGGGCCGAGGCGGTCGGCTCCTTCGGCTCGCGCCGAACTCGGAGCCGAAGTTTTGCGGGCGAAGAGTGGTATAAAATAAACTTTTCCATCGCCGGGGGCGCTGCCCCAGGGCGGCTGGAAAGTTTATTCTTTGACGTGTCACCGTAAGGGCCTAAACTGTCCAGCCGCCCTTGGACACGCGCCCCCGACAGTGAAACAGTTGATTTTATACCGTTGTTCGCGTCGAGAGAAGTGGCTGCGTCGAGCTGCTCGATGTTGAAGGTTTCCAGCGCCTCCTCCTTTGTCGCTGCTTTCGTGTGGTTCATCTGCTGCGCTATCTGGGCCACCTCGTCCACAGGGCCTGTCCAGATCTGCTGCCGAAGGTCTCTCTCTCTCTTGATTGATGCCCATGCTATGATCCGGATCTGCCGTTCCGTCTGCATATGGCAGCGCCATCTCGAGCCTGCGGCGCCTGCTGCTCCTCAACGTGGCGGGGGAGGAGCCCTTCTGCTGCCATGAGCGCCCGACCCATTGGGCGAAGCCTTGTCACTGTGAGGTGGATCCTCGTGCGACCGCCTTCGTCGAACAACCCTCCGTCTGGTGTAGCAGGTTCTGCAACTGCTCTAGATTTAGCTCTCCAACGCCACCCAGCATCTCGAAGTACATGTCCAGTGTGGCCCTGGCGGTCTCCTTACCGAATCGCTCTGTGGGCTCCAACTTCTTCAGATAATGCATGCGCTTCTGCATGCCCACCCGGCATGTTGCTTGCTGCCGTGGATCCGTGCCGTGAGTTCTCAGCGCCAAATAATTGAGGAGCACCGCGCCTAGGACTCCCCGCTGCTCGGCGGGGCCGAACTTCGTGTGCGTGCGACCTGGAGTTGATCGACCTCGAGCCCAGCGGACTCAGAATGCAGCACCTCGACCACAGTACTGACCGGCCTTCCTCTCGTCCACCTGGTTCGTGATGGCAGTCGCTTCCTCTAGACATGTGACCGACTCCGCATACATCTTGGTGGCTGCTCTCCTTGCCTCTCTGTGTCGCTCATTTCTGATAGTCAGATGCTGGTCCCATGACGGGAGTCCCTTCGAAAGAGTTATCCGTGGCCTGTGCTGGGTGCAGACCTTCCTCTAGATGTCCTGCCGTGGTGTAAAAATCGTTCATCTCCGCAGGCGCTGCCTCCTCGTCAGGTAGCTGTTTCGGATGCGCCTCCTCTGTGGCTCCAGCTGGTCGTTGGTTCTCTCTCTCTCTCTCCTCCGCTCCCTTTTGCCATTTTGTTGTTGTTCGGATCAGCTGGTTTCTTCGGTCTGGGTGGCGTCGCCAGCTTCTCGGGGAAAACCATTCTGCGATGCCACCCTTGCCGCGACGCACCTTTCACCTTCAACGTGATACCACAATGCGTACGCCACGACACTCTACGAACCGCCCCGATGGCTACTCTCTGTCCGATGTCGAAACTCGCGATGCCGTAATCTACGATGAGGCTGTTCTGGCCCGTGTCGCAGGTGACCTCCACACCTGGCTCCACCAAGTTGCCTCCGATCTGCATCAGAGAACCCGAGCGGCTCGTCTGGTCGAAGGAGATTCTCCAACCTGCCAAGATGACGCATACTTCAATCCTTTGAGGCCACTCTTCGGCACAAGGTACGCGCAGATCAGGATGAGAGTTCCTACTCGCGTGTGCAAGCTGACCGCGCAGAAGCCTCTGAATGAGTCCCCAGCCCCTTCCGCCACTCTCCGCTCTCTAATCGCATCGTGCCCCGAATCGTCAAGATGAACTCTACGCCCGACGTGCCCGTCTCCGAGCGCTTGGTGGGCGCCGGCGTCGTGCCGCTCAATTTCCAGCCGTGCTTGGCAATTTCTGTCTTGGCCTTCCTGAAGCCCCGTGCATCCGCATGCATCTCGCACATCATCATTGCGTCCTTGTCGTGGCCTTTCTGGTTGACGAACATGTGGGCCTTGGGGCCCCACTGTGTGATATTCGAGAAGCAGACCGAGGTAAAGCTGAGAACCAGATGCAGAAGCGCCACCGTCACCAGCAGAGGCAGACACCGCAGCCTGGCTCGAGGATTTCCCCCTGGCCAGCGCCGCAGACGCTGCACGGAGCCTCCCGAGCTCGTCCTCGCGTGCTTGGCTCTCCTCCCTCGTGGGCGCCTCCGTGGCTGCCTCGTGCTTCGTTGCCACCGGAGGCCGAGGCGGCTCTTGGGGCGCAGGTGGTGCTGCTCCTCCCTTGGCATCGCTCGGACGTGTGCATGTTTCCTTTGACGAGGACCATCGAGGAGCATCCTCGATCATTTCGCGAAGAACCACGCAAGAAACCGAAAAAAACACAGGAAGTGGACGTCCGAGCGATGGCCAGTCGCGTGCTTGGATCTCCTCCTTCGTGGGCGCCTCTGTAGCTGCCTCGTGCTTTGTTGCCACTGGAGGCTGAGGCGGCTCTTGAGGCGCAGGTGGTGCTGCTCCTCCTCGTTCGGCCTTCCTCCTCTTGACGGTGTGTTTGGCGTGAATGAGGTCCGCCTGCCTTTTCGCTTCGAGGAATTGGTTGTGCTGGCGCCCTGCCTGCGCCGTGATGGCGGTCAGCAATTCCAGATCCGACTTGATCTTGAGCAGGTTGGTCCTCCTCAGCGTACTCGTCAATATTCTTGAACATGCCTGGGTCGAGTTCGTGTGCCTTCCGCTCCGTACCGTGGGAGTCCTTGCCTCTCGTTCCACACTGGGGCTCCTGACCGCCACCCAGGGCCTGCGACTGGTAGATCTTGACGGTGTGCTCGTGCTCCTCCTCCTCATCGGCCGCCTCCTCGAGAGCCTCGGTGTGCTTCTCTTGGGCGAGCTCGAGCTTCCTGGTAGCCTCGCTGCGGGCATTGGCCGACGTGTCGAGCGCCTTGCCATTCCTGTCCAGCTCGTTGGTTGCCTGTCGAGGTGCAGCCGCTTTGGCAAACTCCTTGTGCTCCGGCGCAACTGAGACCAGCTGCGCCTGTAGGGCGACGAGCGGGGCAAGGTCGACCTCAGGGTAGAGCGCGCCATTACCCTGCTGGAGCGTATCCAGGGGTGATTGCACCTAATGATGGCGCCATGTGTAGCCGTCCGCCCCTGGCTTACGGTTCCCGAGCGCTGTCTGGTCCTCCCAGCCCGTGGTCATGTAGTCCTGGCGTTTGTTACACCAGCATCCAGAGCGCTGCAGCTTTCAATTGAAGACCAAGCCGCCGCATCCCTTGCAGACCGTGTACTGATGTTGGCGCGGCATGCCGACGCCGTTGCTTCGCAAAGGACGCTAAGCACTGGGATAGACCAGCACTCAGCTCGCACCAGGGCGGACTGGCCGAAAGACCAAACTCTGCTGCGGACCAGAAGTACCCAGTGTGTCCCCTGAGAATCTGGCAAGCTCGAGTCACAATCGCTACGGAAGAAGAGGAGAAGACGGAGGAGGATGAGGAGGAGGATCGAGGGTTCGAGGGTTAGTTTTTTGTTTGTTTATTTTGTGTGCTCATATATGTATATATTCGGTGTTCTGGGAGACTTCTCGTCGCCACGGCTGGATTCTATGTGACATTCCTGCCATAGGATAGGTCCAGGGCCCGGTCTTTGATGAAGGAGGAGGAAGAGGAGGCGGCGGGAGGATGAGGGGGAGGGAGAGGGGGAGGCGGAGAGGTACGAGGAGGATGAGGGGAAAGACGAGGAGGAGGAGGAGGAGGACAAGGAGGAGGAGGAGGAGGAGGAGGAGGAGGAGGAGGAGACAGAGCTCTCCCGCCCCGCCAGATGTCCGGCCTGGAGCCGTGGTCGCTGTCCTACATCGAGTGCCACTGCACTGGCACGAAGGTTGGTGACGGCATCGAGGTGGCCGGGAGCTCCGAATCCGCCTCTGGCTGGCCTGGCCCAAGGCGGGTGACATCTGGCCTCGTTCTCGGGGGCGCCCCGCCCGCCCTCCCACGATGGCATGCCGCGCAGAAGACAAGAGACAACGCACCGGAGGCACCCGAGCAGCGAAATCGTAGGGGTCGGATACCCCGTCCGTCGGATCCTCTGCAATCCTTCCTCCTCCGTCCTCTGTCCAGACCCTCCCTCCTACCTCCCACCTCCTGCCATCTCCCAAGTCTCTCTTACCGTAGCCATTTTGGCTCAGGCTGCAAGGTTCTCAGGGGAACCAAGTGGATACCGCTAATTCGCTGCTAGACCCCTGTCCGTTATCAGGCCCCTGGTGGGCCTCACCCCGAGCCTGTCCGCGCAGGCTCGGAACGCTTGCTCCAGCCTGTCATCCCAGGTTGGTTCTATCAGTGTGTGAGCTCCTGCAGGAGCACCCGTGGAGTCAAGCATCTTGTCCCGAGATGGCGTGGCGTTACCAGGCTCCGTGGCACGCTGCTCGCATTATTCGTTCTGGGTGGGGTCGTGGGTCCAGACCTCCTTGGATGTATTCCTATGCAGTGTATGCGAAATGTGGCCACTGGGAGCACGGCAAATGCGGCAATTGTTCGAAGTGCGGAGGGCAGTCTATAGAGGACGCGATGCACAGAGTGCGCTGGATCTGATGATTCGAACGTGCACGACCTCTCGTCGCAGTCGGCGGCCTTCGCTCTTCTGCATCCAAGCACTGCGGCCACGCTCCAGGCGGAGATTCAGCAGGTGGCGGCCGCAGCTGGAACACTTGGCAGTTCCAGAGCCCGTCAAGGAGGGCGAGCTTTGAGCGCAGGGTGGCCGCCCGTCAGACCGAGTTCGCCAAGGAGGCGGAACGAGCTTCGCGTGCGAAGCGTGCCGCTCAACAACGACCAACGCCCCCCTCCTCGCCCTGGCATCCCCCACTCATGGAGCCTCTGTTCTTCGGACCCCCCACCCCGCGATTTTCCAAAAAAAACACCTACGTCTCCCTCCTCGCCCCGGCATCCTCCACTCATGGGGCCTCTGTTCTTGGGACCCCCCACCCCAACGGAGTCTCGATTGGCGTCGGTGGTCAAACATCGAAAGGCGCTGGTTCGAGCTCAATGATTGCACGCCACAGCGTTCCAGTTTCTGTTTCCGAGTGTCAAGGGGAGACCGAGGCGGCCTGTGAGGCTAAGCAGATGTTTGAACCTGATCAGTTTCGTGGCGAGCTTCGCGAGGAGGAGCGGCGGCAAGCTCTATATCGTGAACAGCAGGCTGCCCGCGCACAGCAAGCTGCTGCGCCTGCTGGAGGACACGCCGCCGCCGCCGCCCAACCAGCCGGTCAAGCCCAAGTTCCTCTCCGACAGCAGTCATCAGGGCCTGCTGCGCGAGGTGGAGTTCATGTACAGACTGGTGTTTAGAATGGTCAGCCTTTGGCCCATCCTTACCTGGCTCAGCTCAATGAGGAGACGTTGCGAGCATGGTGCGCAGCCAACGGCCAGCAGTTTGAGTTCTGGCACGTGGCCAAGCGGATGCGTACCACGCTGGAGTTCGATGCGGATCTGTCTGATGGTGCTGGGTCTGGCCGTGGCAATGAGCGTATGGATGAGCTGCAGCAGCTCAAGCGTCGGGCCGTCGATGAAGTTCTTGGCGCAGAGGATCGAGGTCGGCTCGAGCAGTTCCTTGTCAAGCAGGCCTCCCAGGAGGCCGAAGAGCGCGCGAAGACGGCGTGTAGTGAGGCCGTTGCCACTTTCAATCGCATAGCAATTCCAGATCGCGCCAGGGGACACAGCGGGGCAGAACGGCGCACCGCCCCTTGGCCCCGCAGGCGGCGGCACCTGGGGCTGCCGCCGGGTCGTGACAGCAGCCTCTTTGACTACGAGCGGCGGGTGAGCCGCCATCGGTAACAACCTTTGACTAGGTCGACCGGCTTCCTGTCGCAAGGTGGAACTAGGTGAGCCTCCCCTTTGCCCAGGTGGCCAAACCGACTTGTGATGTCAATTCCTCTTGTGATATCCAGCTTCTCTCTGTGGCTTGCAGACTTGCGAACAGGAAATGCAATCAGATGACATGGGGGTCCCAATGTTCTCCTGCCCCGCCCTTTCCGTGCGGAGTGCTGGCGCGCCGGGGATTGGGCCCTAGTCGGTGGCGGGCTAGAGTTTCGTAGGTTTTTGGCTTCTGATTCCGCGCTCCTGGACTTGGGCGCTGAGGCCTGCTGGATGTTCCTGCAGTTGACAATGAAGGATGTCGCGCTTGCGATCGGTATTGTTTACCTTGTTTCGGGCGTGGGTGTCTGTGGTGATGATATCGATGCGTTGAGAGAGATGATCGTTCGTTTTGCCCCGGCGGTTCCTTGGACCTTGGTGAGAGACTGCAGCATTCCGATTGCTAATCTGGAATTGAGCGACAGTCCGCGTCTTGCTCACGCACGCGTTGTTGCGTCAGAGGGCGTGGGTTTCGTGCTCGCAGGGGGGGGGCCCGCGATCCAGTGCGCGCTTGTATCTGAATGCTTGGTTGCTTGCGTCCAGGTTTCGAAAGGCGGCGCCCACCCTTCAAGGCGCGCGCCTGCCTGCCTGCCTCCTCGAAGCGCGCGGCGGTCGAGCAGAAGCTGTGGGGGCCGCGCCGTATCGGATCCTTACTCTCGGTGTCTGGGGCCCAATTTTCCGTGGGCCGCGTTCCTCCAGCGCGCTTCGGAGCTCCGGCTGTCGCCTCCACCTGAGATGCACGCCGAGTGTTCTCCCGTCCGTGAACATCCTTCCGCGGGGGCCACTGCCGAGCGCGCTGCGCGGGGCAGAGCTACTGAGGTGATGCTTCTTTCCAGGGCGTCTAGCACGCCCCCGCCCGCATGGGGGCCCCCGAGGGGCCCGCCCCAAGATCAAGCGTGGCATCGAGGCGCGTCGATGACTTTGTGGTGAGAGCTCTCCTCGGCCAGTGCCGTGTGCCTGGCTCACGTATCTCAAAATCCATGGTGGCATCGTTTGCCTCGGGCTAGGAAATGCTAGGAGTCTTTATACACGTGAAAGTTTTGGTTTAGCTGGCCAGCCGTGTCGGTGAGTTTCTGGTTCCTGGGGGTCTTCGGTCAGCTGCGCGTTGGCAACGCAGCTCGCTGGCGCCCCCCCTGCGACCGGGATCTGATGGTTTCAATCGTTTTATTCCCGATGCGATCAGCTTGGCCCTAACTGAGGCCTGGTCGGCCGCGAGCGCGGAGATTGAAGCTGGCGCGTGGCAGTTGCCGATCGAGGCTTTCCCGCGGTGGGGCCCAGGGAGTCCGCTCCTGGCTCGAGCGGGGCCGGGGCGTTGACCTCGAGGTCCTCGCCGCGCCAGCGGGCGTGAACCGGCTCCCTGAAGATATGGCGGGGCGCCGCACGGATTGCCGGGGTCAGCTCGGGGCGCCCCAGGAGATCACTCGGAGCAGCCGTCCAGACATCTGGATGCTCTGGGGCCCCGTCGCCCCGGGGGCAGTTGGGGTGCTTGACCCGCCGGGGCCCTCGGGCGCGCGGGGAGCTGCTCGCTGGTTCCGCGAGGGCGCGGCAATCGGGGTGGATCGGCGGCCGTCTCGTCTGCTCCGCGCTCCCCGTCCCCCCCCCCGAGGCCGCGCAGCCCCGCGCTCGCGCGCTCAGTTCTTGCGAGCGCAGGCCGGCGTGGCCCGCGGAGGTCGTGTTCGGCATCGTCGCTTGGTTGCCCCTTTGCGCTTCACCAAGAGTTGACCAAGTCGCTGTCACTGCTGTTGTCTCCGTATCTTAGGAATCTCACTACTGATGTTGTTGCTAAGGGCTCCTCGTTCGCACGACCACCGTTGAGATATTTCTTTCTCAGAAGCCAACTTGTCGAGGTAGTCATGTTGTTTGCCCCTCCTCCTCGATTTCGTCGACACCTGTGCTGCTTCCCTGGCTGCTTCGCACAGTGCAGCCTCCAGGTCGTTGCACCTGTCGTCCACGATGCGGTTGTATAGCTCCAGGTTCTTTATCTTCGAAGCTACTTGTTCCAGACACGCATCTGTCGATGCTTAACGTTAGTATGCTTCTGCTTGCCGTCGTCCTCTGTCCCAGGGGCAGGAGGTTCAAGGATTTTGTAGACCGCGCATCTGTCAAACAAAACTGCGGACAACGACCAACGAGTAGATGATTCAGGCGTTTCGGTATCGTGTCTGCCCCCACAAATATTACACGGTTGGCCTCGGCCTTCTCGAAGAAAATTATCGTCAAAATCATGCCTTCCTTCCAAGCCCACTGTTTGAGTAGCCGGCCTCTGTAAGTGCACCTTTGCACGCTTATTGTATGTCCGTCGTCTTCTTTTGGTATGCCCCCCGCTGCGTTGAAGTCACTCCCGATGATCGCGTGGGCCTTCTTGGTCTGATCTTTACGCTTCAACTCCCAAAGTGTTGTGTATACCTCTTGTACTTTGGAGGAAGCTATATGCAGATATCAGCCGGACTAGATGCCATGCAGTTGAACGTCCGCAGTCAACAATGTATGTTGCCAATCTTGCTTGCCCTCTTACGGTGTAGCAGGATACCCACTCTTCTGGGTTTGTCTTCCCATCCACTACTTATGAAGATATGTACACCTTGCGTTTCCTCAAACTCGTGTTTTCCGTCCCTCCATGGTTCGCGAATCAGGACTACATCTCATGAGAGTTATCGGAGTTGTTTCAAAAGCTCTGCTTTGCTTCGTCTGATTTCAACGACCTGTCATTCTTCGATAACATGAGTATTTTCTTCGGTCCCCCCTCCTTGCTGAGGATCGTCACGTGCACCTTGTTGGACAAAGTCGATTGCACCACTTGCACCAGATATGCAAAAAGGCACGTTGCCACATACTCGTTGGTACTTCCCTCTCCCTCCGTCTCCGCGTCATTCTCCTTCAAACACTGACCGTGTAGGGGTTGTACTTCTCCCAGCAGTACTATTATTTGGCCTTGTCCCCTGGCATGGTCACATATCCTCGTCTGTGGTATCCGCCCGCTTGCTATTCCACGATGTCATAAAGGATTGCGCTGCCTCTTGGACTGTTTTCCGTTCACCTTTGTGCTGCAACATTTGTTTTTCCACCTCTTCCGTGCAACAACAATTCTCTTCCCCTTCAACTCTATTACTCTCTCTTTCCAGGATGTCTAGGTAGTGTCCAACTTATAGCCCTTGCTGTCGTTGTGTAAGAAGCTCTTTACTTTACCCATCTCTTTGTCCATAGTGCGCCTTGCAATAGTATCGTTACTTTTGAAGCGCATGTCTGCACCATTATTCCAATTAGTTTTTGCATGCGAAGCCATCGTCAAACCAATCCTTGCTGCGATTGATGTGACTTGTACCAGCCCAGCTCCCAGCCCGACGCCCAGCCGGGCGCCAAGCCCGGCTGCCAGCCCGGCTCCCAGCCCGGCGCCCCGGCCGGCTCCAGGCCTAGCTCCTTGCCAAGCCCAGCTCCATGCCCGGTGGCCTGCCTGGCTCCCAGCCCAGCATCCAGCCTGGCTCCCAGTCTGGCTCCAAGCCCGGCTCCCTTCCTTACCAGCCTGGAACATATCCCCATCCCTATGCTGGGCACCGCCTCGTCACGATGCCAATCTTAGGGATTCCCTTGTGTCTTGAGGGCGAACCCCTGAGATTGTCATCGCCTTTTGGCGTGTCAATCTTGGGGATAGGGATACGTTCGAGGCTGGCAATGGCTCCCAGCCTGGCTCTTAGCCCGGCGCCCTTCCCAGCGCCCAGCCCGGCCCCCGGCCCATGGAGTCTCTCGCGGCCTCCGCCGGGGGCCTGCCGCTCTGCTTTCAGGTGGGGTCGCCGCTCTCGTGCTGGGCCGCTGGATTGCTCGCAGGGCTCTGGCCTTCGGGCCCTCCAAGACTTCAATATACCTGTACCCATCGGTCGTTGAAAGTAGGTACCTTTGGATTCCCAGATTCCAATCTACTTTCAGCGCCTTCCTACTGAGTGGTTTTCCCTCTTCCCTCCTCTTCAGGAGGAGGGCGGAAACCCAATGTATTTCCAACGCCATCCTACTTCATGTTTCTACCTACTTCTTCCGACCGATGGGTACTCCCGGTGCGTGGGGCCACTTCCGCTCGCCCAGCTTCGCCAGTGCGATGTCCTCTCACTGAGGCTTGTAGGCTCCAGCTGTCGCAGTCTTTCTCGTCGAGTTTCCCTTGCCGAGGCTCGTTTGGGGTCAGGCGGCGCTCTGGCTAGTGGTGTTGCTCTCGTAGGTCTAATGCCAGTGCTTCGCGGACCAATGGTTTCCAGTTCTGGTCCTCTGGTCAGCCCGAGGCTTCTCCTAGAAGGTCCGCAGTGGTAGTCGCGCGTTCTAGTCCCTGGATCTCGGCTTTTTTTCCTCTTGCCGCCCTCCCCCACCAAACAAACACTTCGAAGATTCCGTGAAAACGAGAATGTTGGTGTAGTTCCTTTCTTTTCCTAGATCAACAACGTATTTCTTTACCTGTTGGATGATGTCCTCCTCGTCCTGAGCTTCCTGCAAGCCTGTGGTAACGACCTGCAACTCCCACACGATTCCTTTGAGATCTGGGACCCTTACCTGAGGAGGTTCTCCAGCCTTCATGGTGTTCTGCTGCATCGTGTTCCGCAGCGCTTTGACAGATTGTTCCAGCTTGGCATATTTGATCTTCAATTTGATGATGTCTTGCTTCATGCTGGTCACTGTCGCCAGGGTCGTTTCTGCTCTTATGTTCGCTGAGTTTGCGAGGAACTTGACTGATTGCATGTCTCCCTGCACCTCCATCATAGCATCACACATCTTGTCGAACTTCTCTTCTTGGGACAACTCTGGCCTCGGTTTCTCTTCGGAAGCGTGCAGCCCATCCCGCTTTAGCATTTGCGTGGGCCGCCCATCATATCTTGCATGTCGTAGCTTCCATCCTTTGTGACGCCTTTATGATCTGATCGACCGTTGCACTGGCCAGCAAGGAATGAACAATGAGGAGTGCCCAGATGGCTTGAGCGGCAGAATAACGAGGAGGAGTGGAAGGAGAGATGAAAGAGCGCGCCGGTATGGGGTCAGGGGCGGACTCGAAAGAGTGGAAGAGGCGAGAGGCGCAACATCTTATCCAGAAACAGTGACCGATGGCACTGGGTCCAGAGACCCAGGATGAGGACAGTCCCACCCCTCACGGTCAGCTCAGTGCGGAGGACCCGAGACCTGAAGATTTGGAGGAGGAGGATGGGGGAGACTGATGGTGTTGGCGATGATGAGGATTAGGATGCTGATCGTGCTTATGATGATGATGACGATGCTGATGGTGATGATACGGATGATGCTGCTGTTGATGATGATAAATGTGGATGATGGCGACGACGATGATGATGTTGACAGTGTGCACGACGACGACGACGACTTCGACGACGACAATGACGATTCTGATGATGCTGCTGCCAGTCATGGTGATGCTGATGGTGATGATGACGATGGCGATGGCGATGGCACCTGCGATTATGATGCTGATGTAGTTGACGATGATGATGACAATTGCGATTGCGATGGCGATGGTGACGCTTATAATGTGATGGAGGTAATGCTTATGATGCTGCAGCTGCTGCTAGTGATTGAGATGCTGACGACGACGATGAGGATGAGTATGATGGTGCTGGTGGTGGTGCTGATGATGATGCGGCTTCGGATTATGGTGAGTAGACATATCTTGCATATGACGTTGACGATGCTCATGACGATGTAGACTATATTGTCGGTGACGATGGTGATGATGATGGTGATGATGATGCTGATGATGATGGTGCTGATGATGATGCTGATGCTGACGATGATGATGCTGATGATGCCGATGATGATGATGCTGGTGGTGATTATGCTGATGACGATGATGATGATGATGATGATGATGATGATGATGATGATGATGATGATGATGATGATGACTGTGCTGATGATGGTGATGGTGATGATGTTGTTGATGATGGTGATCATGGTTCTGACTGTGGTGACGATGGTGATGGCGATTATGGCATTGATGATGATGAGGATGATGCTGCTGCTGGTGATGATGGGGTTGTTGGTGATGCTGCTGGTATCGACGATGCGGCTGATGACGATTCTAATATAAGGAATCTGTCGAAATGACGAGGGTTAGGAGGCTGATGGTGAGGATGATGATGCTGATGCTGCTGATGATGATGCTGCTGATGATGCTGCTGATTATGATGACGATGATGATGGTGATGCTGATGCTTATGATGCTTATGATTATGATGCTGATGATGCTGATGCCAATGATGATGCTGATGATACTGCTGCTGATGGTGAATATCATGATGATGATCATACCTATGGCAATGAAGCGGGCTATGATGATGAAGATGAGGATGAGGAGGGGGACGAAGAGGGGCAGAGTGATGAAGAGGTGGGCGAACATGAGGACGAGGATGAGGCAGACGGTGAGGGGGGCGATGAGTAGCACTTGGCCAGATCGAAGGAGTCAGCGGGTCCTGCCAATTCCCATTTTTCCTGTCATAACCTACATCAGTTGTGGCACAACTTGTCATTCTGACTGGTTTGTGCTCCCACCTAGCGAACGGAATGCGCTCGCGCGTGGTCCCGCTTCCGACCACCTGGCGATGGGAGAACTACGCGGACTGCGCAGGGGCGGGAGCGGAACTTCAGAAAGTCCTTGCTCTGCGCTTCGGCGAGAGCACCGTTCAGCCCTCTCCGACGAGCGAGCGCGGCGACGGCGAAGCGTGCGCCGCGCCGAGACAGCACTGCCACTTTCGCGCGCAGACTGCGCGGCGCTCGGGCGATGGCAATACAGTCGGGGCCCTGAAGAAGGAACCCTTTTCGTTGGGGAGGGGCTCCGCGTTCCTTAAGTGTTTCACAGCTTGCCTTAGGTTTTCCTTAGGTTTTCGATGGGAAGTCGAACTTTAACTGATGGGAAAGCGGGGCCTCGTTCCTTATTTAGGGTTCCTTAGGCCAACGTCCCGACCGTATTTTGCCCGCTCTCGCGCGGCTCCGCTGCCGCGGCTGCTCCATGCGATCTGGCGAGCGAAGCATTCCCCGCGCCCATGCGGGAGAGCGCCACTTCGCGCGGCATGTGCACGGAACTTCGCGATGGGCGGCAGGTCGCCCGCTCTCACGCGGGGCCCCCACAATTTTGGCACGCGACGCATCGCCGTCGCGCCGGAGCCTTGGCATCGCTCGGACGTGCGCATTTTTCCTTCGGCGAGGGCCATCGAGGAGCATCCTTGATCATTTGGCAAAAAAGCCACGCACGAAACCGAAAAAACCACAGGGAGTGGACGTCCGAGCGATGGCGAGAAGCGGGAGCGCCACTGTCGGGCGAGTTCTGCGCGGCGCCAAGGCGAAAGCGACATTCTCGCCCGCTTGCGCGCCGACGAACTGGCAAGCGAAACGTGTGCGCCACGCCGAAGTGGGAGTTCAGCTTTCAGAGAAATGAGCGCGGCGCCTAGCCGTACTTGGCTTGGCCCTTGCGCGTGGGATCGGCACCCCGTTCCATCCCCCCCGCGCATTTTGCAACGTCGACGCCCAAACATCCACGTTGCGAGCGTATCGTGTTTTCTGCATCTACGATGGACCTCCTGGATTGGGGACCTATTGGCCAGCTAGGTGGCATACTATGAGTATATCATACCACAGAAAGGCAGTACGATGACGAGCAGGAGGATTAGGAGGGGGTGGGAGACGGTGGATAATGAGGGTGAACAGCGGGGGAAAAACAGTACGATGACGAGCAGGAGGATAAGGAGGAGGGGCGGGGAGACGGTGGACAATGAGGGTGAACAGAGGGGGAGCATGAGGCGGCGGAGGGGGAGGAGGAGGAGGAGGAGGAGGAGGAGGCGGAGGAGGCGGAAGAGGAGGCGGAGGAGGAGGAGGAGGAGGCGGAAGAGGAGGCGGAGGAGGAGGAGGAGGAGGAGGAGGAGGAGGAGGAGGAGGAGGAGGGCCTCCGATAGCCCTCGTCTCGTCTGCCCTGCCCCGCAGATCCGCGGGCTCCTGAACGCGTTCTCGAGGGCTGGCGGCGCTGCGAAGGAGGGCCATCCCGGGGTGGCGCTGGGCTCTGCGGGGGCCCCAGCTGGCCAGCTCCTGGGGAGGACTGTGGCGCCGCCGTCGTCGTCGCCGTGGGACAAGGGGGCGTCGCCGTCGCCGTGGGGAGGAGATGGGGGGGAACCGGATACATGATGTGGAGCAGGGTGAGGCGGAGCACGGTGATGATAATGACGATGATGATGATGATGATGATGATGATGATGATGATGATGATGATGATGATGATGATGTTGACGATGATGATGATGATGATGATGATGATGATGATGATGATGATGGTGATGATGATGAGGAGAATGAGGATGAGGATGAGGATGAGGATGAGGGTGCGGATGATTATGAGGATGAGGATGTTGAGGATGATGATGATGATGATGATGATGATGATGATGATGATGATGATGATGATGATGTTGTTGATGATGGAGATGTTGATGATGATGATGCTCTTGTTGATGATGATGATGCCGATGATGGTGATGGTTGATAATGGTGATGGTGGTGGTGATGATGATACTGATGATGGTGATGATGCTGATTATTGTGATGATGGCGACGATGATGATGACGATGATGATGCTGATGCTGATGCTGCTGATGATGATGATGATGATGATGATGATGATGATGATGATGCTGCTGCTGCTGATGATGATGATGATGATGATGATGATGATGATGATGTTGATGATGTTGATGATGTTGGTGATGCTGATGCTGATGATGCTGATGATGCTGATGATGATGATGATGATGATGATGATGATGATGATGATGATGGCGTCATGTTGCTGCTGAACACATCTGGGTGGGGGGTGGGTCCTGAAGAGGTGAGCGGCTCCTTTGGCTTGCCTCGGACGACCGAAGATTTATTCTTCACGCTTCGTGTATCCCCACCAGTGGCATTTTGCCAGGCTGCACGTTGCCCGAGTTTCCCTGGGTGCCCTCAACCTGTCAGCTTTCCCGCGCAGCACAGCAGCTGCTTGGTGAGTGGGCCCGGCCTGCCTGCGGCGCTCCCAGTAGCTAATTAGGCCGTTACCGCGTCCCGGAACGCTTCTGACTTTAGGCCGTTACCGCGTCCCGGAACGCTTCTGACTCCGCCTGCGCCTTCGCTCGCGGACGCGACCAAAAAAGTATCCCCACCAGTATTAGGTTCGCGCGTAGCCCGCCCGACCTCTGACGCTGCTGGCGCGCTCGCCCGCGGCTGCGACGAAAAAGTATCGCCACCAGCCGTCCGGCACACGGTCTCGACACCAGTCCCTAACGGTGTCTGGCGATCTGGACTCTGGTCCGTTGAGCGCCTGCATGGGGTTGGTCGATACCTGCCGGGGCGTGCGACTCGACCGCCACTTGCGTCGGCGGGACCGTTGGCCCTGACGCTGGTCTTCGTGGTGAGTTCTGCCAGTGGTCCCCATCACCTGCGCGCTCGAGGTGTCGTTCAACCTGAATTCCCCGCCATTTTGGCGATGCAGCCCGCCTGGAAGTTCTTCCCGGTCGACGGCGCCCTCTTCTGAGCGGCAGCGAGGCCCGCCTCCTGTTTGTTCCTCCCCCCGCTGTCACCTCCTTGGCTCCCTTCCTTCCCCATGGCGCAATTAGCTCGTAACTTGCTTGCTGCGACCTTGACGGCGCCCGGCGTCCTCCGGTGCGCTCGCGATCCAAAAAATATTCCCACCAGTCCATTCCGAAAGTTTGCCCATGAGAGCTGACTGGAAAAGGGACGAAGAAACACATACACTGAAACAAAGCGGGCTACCAGTATGAACGGAGAGATCTTTGGGAACCATGCGTTGGTCTTGGAGCGCCTCTTCGGGCCATCCTTGGGGCCCGCGGGAGGGCAAGGGGAGGAGGTGGAGAAAGGAGGAGGAGGAGGAGGAGGAAGAGGAGGAGGAGGCAAACCGACTTTTGGGGACCCCTCCCCCTCCCCCTCCTCCCCTTCCCCCTCCCCTCGCCCCTCTCCCCCGTGCATACTAAAACAGCCGCCCGTCGCTAGGAAGAGAGGTCGTCCTAGGCAGACGTGGGCCGGAGAAGTCGGCAGGCACGCCGCTGCCGTCTGCGACGATTGCGGTTTTCCCAAAGAGAATATAGATGTTATCCCAGCAGACAGCTGGAAGACAGCTGTGCGGAGGTATTGCGCGCCACGCTAGCTTGTCTCAACTGCTCATGTGCTTGTCACGAGGCTTCGCAACAACAAACAACGTGGGACGCTTTTGTGGCGCTCTCGGGCCCCTTCGGCGCCTTCTTGGGGCCGTCTTAGGGGACCTCTTGGGGCCCTCTTGGGGCTGGGCTCTCTTGAGGCCTTTTTGCCCCCCCCCCCCCCCCCCCCCCTCCCCCCCCCCCTCCCCCCCCCCCCCCCGGGGAGGGCCTCCTGGGGCCATCTTGGAGGCCATCGATCAAAATGGGGGGTCCCGATTTGCCTCCATCTCTGGGCCATCATCGTCACTTTTTGGAGCGTTCTTGGGGCCGTCTGGAGGGCCTCTCAGTCCCCTCTTGGGGCATCTTGGGGCAATCTCGAGGCTTCAAAAGCGCATCGGAAGCGTAAAGACGAGAAAGGCAAGCATCACTGATTCGCCATAAGTTTTTGAAGGACTTTGGCCTCCTCCTTCGGGGGGTCCTGAGAGGGCACCGAGGGCACTTGAAATCGTCTTGTGGCCTTCGCAGGGCCTCTTCGAGGTATGTCGGGAACTATATTGAACCATCTTCGGTTCTCTTGAGACATCTTGGAGGCAATCTCGGAGGATCGGAGGCCCTCTTGGAGCTATATTGGATCATTTTGGAGCCCTGACCGCTCGCGCCCCCCACAAAAAAAACCTCATGGAGGGGTGGGGGATGACACCCCTCCCTGAAGGGAGGAAGGTTTCTGGAAAGGAAAACCAAGATATTGTTAATCGCCTACTGCCAGAGGGCTGGTTGAACTCCAGGGGCCAGATCCCGCTTGGTGGGATCTCATGAATGCTCCAGATCGTCTGCGCCGAGGCGACACACATCCCGTTCCAACTTTTCGCTGGGCGCACCAGCCGCGCGCAAAGCCGCCCTGAAGGGTGCGCTGCTCAGGGGAGCAACGCTGAAGCTCGCTGCCAGCAGCACGACGCTGGGTATTGGGGGCCCCAGGCTGCGGGGAGGCGGCTGCGTGGTGGGGGGTCTCCCGAGTGCACTCTCCGACGGCATGCGCCAGGCGGTGTTGGCCTCTCCCCCCCTCTCCCCTCCTCTACGGCAGGTGCCGTGCGGAGCGCGCAAGACAAGTGGAGTTTTCCGCTGATTCGTTCGAGCCCGTTGCGCGAGGCATCAAATGGAAGGAGTTGTCTGGGGCCCTGCTCGTCAAGAGGGGACCAAACCGCAGAGGAGGGCTCCGCCGGGCCTCTTCTCCCCCCCCCTTTGCGGCACGTGCTGTGCGGGCCTCCTCGGCTTGCCAGGGGGTCTGGGTGGTGCGGCGCTGTTTTGGGGGGGGGCGGGGGGGAGAGGGCTGGGCACGCCGGTGCGGCCCTGGGGCGAGTACGCTCGGGTACGCTCGGCGGGCAGGCTGCCCCGACGGGCCCCTCTCGTACAACGCGCGCCCACCACAAGCGTAGGTGACAGGGTTGGCGCGCGTTGACTTTTTCTCCACGTGCCGAACTACGAGAACAACGGCTCCTTCCTGATGCGTCCTCACCTTTTTTTGGAGAATCGCGCTCTCGCGCGGGACACCTTCACAATTGATGCAGGAATCGCGCTCTCGCGTGGGACTTCCTTGCAATTCATTTAGACGTAGCGCCTTCGACGCTCAGGAGTCGCGCTCTCCGTTTGACCATTCTCACGATTGGCTTGGGAATCGTGCTGTCGCTTGGGACCTTGCGATTCACTCAGGACGCACGCTTCAGCAACCCGCTTGCTCGACCTGGCAGCTTGGGCCCGCCTTCCCGACCCGCCCGTCGGGGTCTACCCGCCCGATGGGCCTGTCTGATTATGCCGCGTGTTTTCTGCTCCTTGCCCCCCCTCCTGCTAATCCCTCTCGTGCTGCATCCTTCTCCTTCCCCTTCCAGCCGACCTCTCTTCCCTTGTTTTAGGGGCTGCACCAAGTACGCGTGGCAGGTAACGAAGATACGTATGCCCCAAAGGGTGTACGTCCGAAGACGAATCTTGCGGGTATCGAGGACTTGGGACATGCGTGTTGACAGGCACTCGACCAGATAGGAGCTAACAGTCTTAACATGATGGTAGATCTATCACTTCTAAAGAACAAATCTGCTTGATCCCCTGGTGCCCATGGTGTTCTTCCAATTAAAGTGCTCCTCCCAGGGCTCGCACCCTGTCTTTTGCAAAGGGTTGTCTTCCTCGTCAGATTACGCCCTTGGCCAGCAGTTTACAACAATAGCGGCTCCGGCCTGGTACTTCCGCACATATTATTTCAAGAACGCGCTCTCGCGCGGGTCTTCCTGGCAATTCATTTACACGCCGCGCCTTCGACGCTCAGGAATCGCGCTCTCGCTTTGGCTTTTCTGCCGATTTGCAATTGGAATCGCGCTATCGCTTGGGACTTTCTCGCGATTCATGCAGGACGCACGCTTCAGCAACCCGCCTGCTCGACCTGGCCGCGTCTGCCCGCCTTCCCGACCCGCTAGGGTCTACCCGCCCGATGCGCCTGTCTGGTTCTGCCACGTGCTTTCTGCTCCTATCCCCTCTCCTGCTAATCTCTCTCGTTTTCTATTCTTTTTCCTCCTCCTTTCATCCGTCTTTTTTCCTTTGCTTTGGGGCTGCACCAATTACACGTTGCAGGTGAGGGCGATGTACCCACAAACAGGTACGATCGAAGACGACGAGGGCAGGTATCGAGGATTTGGGACATACGCGTTGACTGGCACGCGAGGTGGTGAGAACTAACAGTCTTAACATGATTGCGGTTGAATTATAGAAAGAACAGTTATGATGGATCCTCCTTCGGTGTTCATTGTGTTGTTCCAATTAAAATGCTTCTCCCGGGGCTCGCACCCTGCTTGTCACACGGAAGGTCTTGAAATTCAGATTGCGGCATTGGCCCCCGACTTACAGCAAAAACTGTATTCAATATTGCGTTCTCACGCGGGCCTTCCTTACAATGCATGTAGAAATAGCGCTTTCGCGTGGTATTTGCTTGCATTGTATTCAAACGCCGCCGTGCCCCAAGTACTCCAGACTTACGCTCTCGCTTTGGATGCCCTCAAGGTTCAATTCGGAATCGCGAGATCGCTCGACACCTCCCCGCAAGTCCTGCATAAGTCACGTGTTTTTTTCTGTTCCCAGCCCCCCTCTTAACTTTTCTCATGCTCCATCCTTATTCCCCCCCTGCCCCTTCCTTCCATCCGTCCTCTCTTCCCTTGTGTTAGGGGCTGCGCCACATACACGTGACAGGTAAGGACGATATGCCCCAAAGCAGGTACTATCGAAGACGAAGAGGGCGGGTATCGAGGGTTTGGGATAGACGTGTTGAATGGCACCAGAGCAGGTACGAGCGAATAGTATTGAACTGAGCGGTGTTGTTGTTGCTGACTGTGGTGATGGTGCTGCAGTTGCTGATGTTACTGCTGCTGCTGATGATGATAGTTAACGATGATGGTGATGATGCTGATGATGACGCTTATGACGATGATGCTACTGATGATGATGGTGATGATGCTGATGCTGCTGATGATGATAGTGACGATGACGATGGCGATGACGACGAAGGTGACGACGACGGTGACGACGAAGACGGTGATGATGACGACGGTGATAACGATGATGGTGATGGTGATGGTGATGGTGATGGTGATGATGCCGCTGATGATGATGCTGTTGATGATGCTGCTGATGATCATATTGGTGGGGATGCTGATGATTATGGTGGTCGTGATGATGATAACGATGATGACGACGACGCTGATGATACTGATGATGAAGATGATGATGCTGATGCTGATGCTGATGCTGATGATGCTGATGCTGCTGATGATGATGCTGATGATAATGGTGATGGTGATGATACTGGTGGATGTGATGATGCTGATTACTATGATGATGATGATGATGATGATGATGATGATGATGATGATGATGATGATGATGATGATGATGATGATGATGATGATGTTAATGATGATGGGGATACGGAAAACCAGGAGTAGGAGGACTGACCAATATGAGGAACCTAGTAAGGATGAATCTGATGATGTGGATGATGAGGAGGATGAGGAGGTACGGGCGGATGTGCATAAAGGGGATGTGAAGGGAGAGGCGCCCTTGGAGGGGCAGGGATGGGTAGCGCAGGATTGGTAGGCAGTTGTGTCACCTCCGCGCGAGACCCCCGCCCTTGCGCGTGCACGCGCAGCGAGGCGTCACAGTTATCGCGGAGTGAGACACCCAACCAGTTCCGGGGCGAGACCCGCAAAGGCCACGTGGGTGCGTCGCCCCTGCCGCGAGACACCCCCACGAGATCCCCGTCGTCACGCGTGCCTAGTCGTGCAGCGTGCAGCGAGTCGCCATTCCATTCGCTGAGCGAGACCCCCGCGAATGCTACGCACGACGACTTCCTTTGAAGGCAGCCGACCGGGGGTAAGAGGCGGAGCATAGTTCTCCCCTCTGGCGCAGGCCATGTGCGTGAGCGCACGCTTGACCATCCTACCCCCAACAGTCCTGATGAGGGGGTGGGATGCGTGCGCCCGACAAGCAAGTCCCTTCCTCCTCCTCCTCCTTCTCCCTCCCTGCTTTCTCTCCCCCCCATCCCTCCCCCCTGCCTGTCTCCATTCCCCCCCCTCCTCCCTCCTCGTCCCGTCACCTTCCTCGGGGTCCCTCTCTTTGAGCATCTCATTCCAAAGACTCCCCCAGGGAGTTCCTGCATCCGTGACGCTGACCGCCAGGGGACCGCTCGGAAACCGCCTGAGGTAACTACTTTTCGTGCTGGGCCCCCCAGGGCCTGCCACGCGAACGCTAACAGAACAATCGAAACCTGTTTCCGGAGATTTCAGCACGCCTCTGGCCAGTTGGGCCAGCGAGTTCTTGCCTTCATGAGCGCGTGCGCGTCGCTAGCGCGGGGGCGGCCCCGAGGTGAAGGGCAACATCGCGCACGCCAATTGCGCGGCTGGCGTCACTGGGCTCATCAAGGCACCTCGTGCAGCTGCCAGCGCCAGTTGTCGCAGTCGCCGCCTCCGCTGTCGCCGCACCTCCTCCTCTTCAGAAGAGAGCAGCGGCACAAGTATCGTAAACTTTTTGGAGTTTCGCGCGGATTACTGGGGTCGGCGCCAGACACCCCTGGCAGCGCATCTGGCGCCGCCATTGGCGTGCTTCGCGGGTCAGGGGGAGAGGTTTCCCGCGCCGAGTCAAGAAATCAGCGCGGACCTCCAGCTGTTGATGTCTGTGTTTCTTGTATTATTATTTTCTTGATTCTCCACTTCCTTCAGCCCGCGGCGCGGCCTGGCACCGCTGCTCTGGTGCCGTTGCTCTAATAGTGGGCCACGCTGGCAGGGATTCCGCGCCAGGGTCGGGGCTTTCGAGGCACCGCTGCTTGCTTTCTGTGCCTGGTCTTCGGCCCTTTGCGGGGAGCCGAGTCTGAGTTCCGGCCCAGGGACGGAGTTTTGGGCTCGACGCGTTTGGCCCCAGATGCCAGTGCGGCGCCCGAGTAGAAGGGAGAAGTATAGAGGGGGGGTGGGGAGAGGAGAAGGGAGCGAGACATAAAGAAAGCAATGCATACGCGTGTGTGTATAGAGAGAGAGAGAGAGAGAGAGAGGGAGAGAGAGAGAGAGAGAGAAGGCAGGCCATTGGTACACAGCCGTATCAGGCTCATCAGCTTTGAGAGTAGCATTGTGGCGGGCGTTCCAAGATGCGCTCGCCGAACAGTCTCAGATACCAGATTTCGTTCACGCCAGTCTTCTTTGGGATGTGGAGGGCTTCTACGATTCGCTATCGTGGGAGTTTGTACTGGACAGAGCCATGGGACTAGGTTCTCCTGTTATTTACTTAGCGCTGGAACTGCAGATGCACATGTCGGCCAGGTTCCTTCGAGATGAAGGCTGCTTTTCAAGTGCAATACAGCCCAGCCTCTCGCTCATCCCATGATCGACAGGTGCTGTTGACCTGGGGAGGTGTGCGATCTATTTTGTATGCGAGGTTCTAGCCAGAAGCCCACCCCCATCCCCTTCCCTTGCCACCTGGGTGGATGGCATTATCCAGAGGTGCGAGGGACCTAGGCAGATATTAATCAGCATTGTTTTCAACGCAGGCAAGCAGCTGTGCCAGGGCTTAGGCAATGTTGAGCTCAGGATGGCTAGCAAGTCATGCATCATCTCGTCATGCCCAAGGACGGCCCAGCAGTTAGGCATAATGTTCGCATCTGTAAATATCAGTATCCAGGCCAAGACGTGTGCACCCGACCTTGGATTAGATAGGGGAAGAGCGGCCTCAAGCAGGCCAAAGCAGGCAGCAAGGCGAGTAGCAGCATGTTTTAAGGGCAGCAAGCTGTCCAGATTTGCGGGAGGTGCTAGGAAACACAGGGAGCTGTCCAAGAGCATGGTGTCGGTCTCGGCTTTCGCGCAGTCTCGTTTTTCGGACCAAGTGTGCGGCACAGCTCCCAGTGTTCTCATCAAGTGGAGAAGGGCTCTGGCAGACCTTTGCAGTAGAAAGAATAATGGCAGATGCCTTACCACTTTGCTTGCCCTTGGGTTTGGCCAAAAAGACCCAGCTTTCACGGCGGTCTTTGATGTAGTCAAACTGTGGTTCGGAATCCCAGGGGATCCCAAAATCCAGCCAGAGAGAGTGCAGCGTTGCTGGGGACAAATTTTGACCAGGCTCAGTAAAGCCAGCCCCAAGGCCAGATGGAGGAGGGTTAGTTCCCTAATGGCGGCACCAATATGCACGGTGCTCGATTTAACATGGGGCCCTGAAGGACCGTGGCGATGGCACAGCGGCATCGGCGAAACCTTCGAGGCCCCTGTGTCCCTTTTAGGCCAAAGTCCCATGGACACCAAGCTCCCTTTTTATTGCATCACAGGTCGCATAAGTAGGAAGCTCTGGCCTGGAGCAGCTCGCAACTCCTGGATGTGAGAGGGCTTGCAGGCAGTACCAGGCATGACAGGGCCGCGTAGACAGTGCAAGGCAACGATCAGTAGAGGAGACTTTCAGTTTAAAGGGAAACTGCAGTGTGTCATGGCAGGCGCCACTTGGTGCAGACAACGGCTTTGAGTATGGAATGATAGATGACCCAACGTGTCCGCGTTGCGGGTCAGCACCAGAGACGAACAAGCATAGATGTTGGGAGTGCCCAGTTAACGCAGCGTTTCAAACAGTCTCGGGTCAGCTAACAAACAAAGCCATTGCTGAAGCAGGCACGTTACCCTGCCTTTGGATCAGAGGTGTAGTTCCTCCCTCCACGTGGACGAATGTCCCAGAGCCCCCTGGAGAAGCCATCAGTTACGTTTTTGGCTAGTCGAGCCACCAGATTTTTGGCGAACAGCGGGTCACTTTTGGAGGGGGGAGACGCTAGCGGAGGCGCTCACCAGGATCCAAGGCTAAGGAGAGTGGCGTGGGCTGTTGCTATCCTAGGAGGTTTCCGGGATGATGGGGGCTACGACGTTGGGGGGGGGATGTTCCAGTTTGTCAATCGTGGTGGGGCCACGGCTCAGATCGAGTTTGCAGCCACAGTTTTGCCGCTGGCGAGTCACTGACTCAGCATATGTCACGCGTGGAGTTGACAAGGTGAGGCGAGGCACGCTCCCCGAGACCCACGTTGATGTTTGGAAACGTTTTCAGGCCGTGCTTCTTGAGAACCCGACTCCAAGAATCCGAGTGGTTTGAATCGAGAGGTCACCTCAAGGCTGAGGAGGCTGTTGCCAAGAACGTCGAGACAACGTATTTTTTTCGCCAGCGCTGTGGCAGACAAGAGAGATGAGGTCTTGGGCCAGGAGCTGCGAGTTTCGTATGCTGGCATATGTAGAATTGAGATGTCCACGGCGATCGGGTTTGCATTCAGGAAGCACTTAGCCAGAGTTTTGAGTATCATCATGGAAACAAGTCCCAAACATGTGCCCAGCGGCAGAGACACTGCCATTGCTAGACAAACGAAGGAGAAGAGCTGCAGCTTGACAGCTCATCACGGAGTGCGGTTTCTTGGGCTCCAGAGTTAGATGCACGGGGTGTGGAGGATCAGCGCCGCGGAGAGAGTTGGACGATTTTCCGACACACCATGCATCAATGGCCTGATGAGAGATGTCGTCCTGAGACCGTCGAGGCCCCAAGTTTTTAATGGCAGAGTGCTTCACGCTACACACGCATTTGGAGTCCACCAGAGATTCGGCACTCTAATCTGTCTCAACTGTGTTTTTTTTACGCACAGAAGGGCGCGATGAATTTATTTAATCGTGGTGAGGGTGATATTGTAGTGCGTGGCAAGCGAACCCTCCGACGATTGTAACAAGGCAAAGCGCCCGCAGTAGAGTCCACGGAGACAGAGATAA